TCACTCCTGTTTTGTCTTGAAAAAGTATCCGTTCTCTGTTGCTATGTCCTTGCTTCCTGTAAAACCATTCGGCAGTGCTCGCATCACTTCTGTGAAGCTGACACGGTATCACAGCTCGACATCCCAATGGGTACTCCAGAACATTTGTTGTAGCTGCTAAAATATAAGCTTTCTGTTAATCTTTTTGAGATGTTATATGAACAATCAATTACAAGAACAAAGTCACTTCCAAATATTATTTGTAAGATATAGTGAAATATCAATTATTTGGACAGTTACTTACTGTTTCCTGGGGAAAAAGGAGATGTGTTCCAAATAATAATCAGAAAAATAAAGCTTTTTTGCATTATGTGTTTGAGGTAAACACGTCTCTTAAGAAATCAACAAACAATCTGAAGCACATAAAACCCCCCTTAAGTGCTGAAGCTATGGCTTAACAGATCCGAGCAGAGACTCCTCTGCACCTCAGACGCTTTCTTGAATAGGTGTAATATCAAAATTCAAGTTCACAGATCGAAAGTGGTCTGTCAGTATGCAGAGGAAGTTTATTGTGGCTTTCACCCACACGGTTTGTTCTGGTGGTGTTGCATTTACTCCACTTTAGGCTTTAGCACACAATAGGTGTTTAAATACAGTGAGCAACATGTTTCATTTCTCATGTGAAGGTATAAAACGGTTAGTCATTGCTGCTTTTTTACACCAGTGATGGGATCATGAGAAAATTGTTCAAGTAAAATAAAAACTGTTATTGTGCTGTTTATATACATTACTCATCCATCAATCACTCATGAAGTTACTATCTCATTGTACTTCATAAAATGTAGGTCATTATGGGCTTCAGTCATTTTTTCAAGTGGTTAATTTGTGTATAAGTTTAGAGATTACTAAGGTCGAAAAAGAGCTGACACTGATAAAATCATTGTCTGGAAACTGCAGCAACGGAACATTTTATAAAGCAGGAACAAAATAAATCAGACCTGAGTCAAATAATCAAACGACCTGATCAATAATCATATTCACTCTTGAAATCTTCGGGTTTTGATGATTTTCAGTTTTGGGAGTCAAACAATAGAACAGCCTTAGTGCCTTGGCCAAATTAATTACTGATAACACCATAAAATGAGAATTAGAAAACAATTTAGAGTTCATCTGCTTTTATTTTTCCTTTTCTTTGTTGTATTACTGGTGTTCTGGGTTATATTAAGAATTGTATAGGATAGGCATAAATAAGCCTTAGACTTTAGTCTTTTCCTTTTTAGGTCACTGATTGTTTGAATTGTATTGTGTGTAATGGACCAGTGTAAACATGTAAACTGTTGTTTTTGTTGTATCTGTAAGGACTATGTAGGCCGACAAACATGTTTTTGACTCTTTTTTTAATGAATGACCAAAACAAAAAAATATTCATTGATTCAAATTTAATTTAACAAATGTATTTGACCCCAAAAGGGTGGAGATAATTCTACTTCTGCACGGTCCAGAGTTTGCCTATAACACACATCATAGCCTTGTAAAGAAACAGCACTGAAGGGGACCACAAGACTCTGCAAATAAAAGTATAGGGTGTTTATTGCTAATCACATTACAATTATAATCATTAAAATGTTATTATTTATTCATCATTCATCATTCAGGGCGAATTAGGATACTTATTGTATAAAAGGTTATTATGACTTAAGGTCTCGACACAATTGAGTCATAGTTTCAAGTAGCCTACAAAGGAGAAAACAAATTGTTGTGCCACAGATGGTTGTATGCACCGCTATAAAAAGCAAGCTTTATATAGCAAAGTTCAGCTTTTGTTTGAACTGTTAGTCTATAAAAAGTTCAAACAAAAGCTGAACCGTTTGTGTAAGCTATATAGGCCTACTGTAACACATTTTAATTAATTAATCTTAATTTAAATTTACGTTTCAAACTATTGTCAACAGGGATCGCAATCTCACATCTCTTTTGCTACCAAACCAACTAAAATAAACTGGTGTGATTTTTGCAGTGCACATCTAGCCTGCTTATCTTGTCCGGTTTACCGCTGTGTCGTTGTGGGACATAGGAGACGTCGTATCGGTTTTTCCGATACGACGTCCTCAAGTGTGAATTGTTTCCAAGCATACAACTAAACTACTAAGTTACTAATGTAGAAATGTATTTTTTTCTGTACTACGCCTCTAATTATATACAATGACGTCACACAGGTGAATTAAATTGTGGCATATGTTCATGATAAATTGTGTAAAGCATTCTGCCCTACAAAGCCAAAGTGCAGTACATAAACTAAAGCAACCCCCACTAGCTAGCAGCTAGCTTAGCTAAGTAAGATATCTCAGCTAGCTACTATGTAAGATGTATTACTTCACCTGCGAAGAGTTTAAATGTGACTTTACTTGAACAGAGTGAAAAATCTTTGTGAAAACGAGTCGACTATACAAAAAATAGTTCAACTCTTAAGTTATTTACTATTGAAACGGGGAGACAAACAGCGAATAACATCAAATGAAGCATTAAGGGGTTTTCTCCCTCGGCTGTTTTAGCAGCGGTTGCCATCCAGCTTTGAGGCGCATTACAGCCACCTACTGGATAAATTATACCTTAACCCCTCTAATGTGTTAGAAAGTTGCACACACCTTAGCGTTAGCGGGTCAAATGTTACCCATGATTTAAATCAGCCTAAAATACTCTAAAAACAATCATTCTCATCCAATATTGTTTTTTACCGTATAACTAAGTTATTATGCAATCATATCCATGCAAAGACTGGTTTAAATTGAATTTGTATGGTCCCATGGAACTTTAAACTTGCAATAAACCACTCATTTTCAATTAAAAAAATATATAAGTTCATGCATTGTATTTTATTGAATATAAGTAAATAGGTATGTATGTTATCTGACTGTAATAGACTAATACTAGAACAAACTTTCAAGAATTAATTACTTGTGATTGTTTTAAAAATTTATATTTTTAACCATAGTGACATCTGTGGTGTTAGGGGTCAAAATTGACCCATATAGATTTATGTTAGAAAGAAGGTAAAAAGCCATTTATTTTATATACAGTAGAACCATATTTTATTTTGCATAACAAATCAGGTGTAAATTTAACATGAACCATTTTCTGTGTGTGTGTGTACGTGTGTGTGTGTGTGTGTGTGTGTGTGTGTGTGTGTGTGTGTGTGTGTGTGTGTGTTTTCAAATTAAAATCACTCTCATGACCAAAGATATGGTCAATGGCCTCATAGATAGTCAACCTCTTGCTCATGATGAAATACACTGCATGCTACAGCACAATGAAATTGATAATAACTCAAACAAGCCTTATTTATAGATACCAATTGCACAATAATTCTGTATAATGTTGTTCATGCCCCTCCTTCTCAAGATGACACCTGGCTACGAGAAAAAAAAATTGTGGAGCAAAAGAAAGTGTGTGCAGCATTTGTTTGTGTGTTTGTGTGTGTGCATGAAACACTGAGGTTCAGTTTTGGTTAACATGTTTACATTTTCTGTGGAAAAAGTTGTGTTCCCGCAGGGGGAGGGTGCCAGGTGGATTAAGAGTACAAATCCATACTACGGGAAAATAATTTTTCCCATCAAAGAAGGGAGGGGTGGGGGAGGTGTGCAGAGTCCAATATGAATCTTCTTTGAGCCAGATTTGATCCATAGAGCTACCCACAACTTAAAGGATGCATGCAACAGCCACTTTTTTCTGCCGGGTCATATTTGACCCGTAGCACCACAGGTGTCACTTTTTTGTTAAGAGACCTTCAGAATGGACTTAAACGGTAAAAAATTGTTTTGTGTGTTTATAAACCTTTTCCTGAGGATATCATAAAATCTTGTGCCAATAATAAAAACTAAAAGGCATTTTTTACATATCTGAAGTTGAAAACGGGTCAAAAATGACTGTAACACAATAGAAGGGTTGGAAGAAGTGAAGTATTGCCATGTTAAGGTTAGCCTACCATAAAGTGCAGGACTTTTGGGACGCAATAGTTTTTGGTAGGCTATCCTTAAAATAGCATTACTGCTAAACTAGTACACTAAAAAGAAGGTCTACTGACACTAGATTATCATCCTTTAGAAATGCTGTATAAAAGTGCTGCATCCCCCAAAATAAAATCCACAATGTTAAGCCTACATGTGCAGAAGTTAGTTATAGTTACAAGGAAAAAGTAACTATATTAGATACAATTTTAAATCTGAGGTTCAGTAAAGAAAATAGGCTACATTTTTTTGCCTATTGTGCAAAAACACAGCATTACCAACATTAGGACAAACATTTTCAAACACAAGTGTATAAAGTGTTTGAGTAGCCTATATCCATTAAGTTATCATGCTTTGTTGGATGTTTTAGCCCATACTGGTTTAAAAATAACTTCCTGAAAATTCCTTGCAATTTAAATAATCAAGGAAAGAACGATGCCCCCCAATTTTTTATTTTTTTAGATAAAGGTGGCTATATGTGCATAGCTAAAAAAAAAAAAAAAGACAGTAAAGATAAATGAGTTTCAAATCAAATCAAACAAAATCAAACATTAACTCAATGTTGGGGTTAAAGCTCCTATGATGAGTTTTGTCTGTTTATGAGAATTACTGGAATTAATATTGATGCTTCTATTTGACCTATAAGTAAAGGAACCATCAGCGGAACAATTGACTATTTCTATACAGTTTTTTTAAATGTCTGAAACCACTGCCGGGGTGGAAGGTGTCCAACAACGTGATGCACTGCATGCCACAGAAACAGCCTCCTTTCCATCGCAAAGATTCTTGATTAGTGATATTTTCCCTTTTAATGAAAGCAGGATGAGGTTTTTTTGTTAACTTAACTTACACATGAACAGGACCAGATCAGTAAATCTGTAAGAGGAAGCGCTTTATCTACAGGGCTGGTTTGACTTCTGGCTTGGCTCCTGGAGATGTGCTGAAGCAAGAAGTTATCATACAATATTCCTTAGATATTCATAGTTTTTGATCATCGGGTGAAGAAACCAAATAAAAGAGGTTTACAAAATCGTTTTTTATTGCAAAGATAATTCAGCCACCTATTTTCTTGTCTGCTGCTGTTAATACAAAATTTAAGTAACACTTCTATTAATACAAAATGTTTTACAAGGGGAAGTCAAAAAAACTATACACAAAAATCATTACTATTTTTAAGTGAGAGTGGGGATTGTCTTGGCAGGAACATCTTCATTTTTGAATTCCACATTTATTTCACTATACACACAATCATTGTTAGTCGTAGGAGCGTTTCTTATGTCAGCAGATCTCCTGATGACAATGGATGAATAAGTCACTTGAGTCTCCTCTTCCTCCTGCAGTAAGAAATCTCGACATTATTTGTGTGACTTTCATTGCTGAAATAAAGATCCAGGTAAAGGCATCGGCATATACGTATATCATAATGTAACACCTACCTTGTTATTCAAGCCACAGCAACAAAGCTGAACGGGAAACACTTTTGAGAGAGGAAAACAGAATGAGGAGGGATACATAAACTTGACTATAACTCAATGTCAAATGTGGATTTGTGTGTCTAGGCACAACTAAACATGCAAAAAAAAAAAATCAATTTCAATCAGAGGTATTTATATCCTACCTCCTCGTAGTCTTGATCTGAGGTAGTAAATTAAAATTGCCATCAAAAGAAGGCATGTTAGGGCTGTTAATGTTGCAGAAATAACAGGGATCAGCATGGGCTCTGTGCCTGTTGAAACTAAAAGAATGGACTTGTTACTCTTTACTTCAAATCATGACTTTCTTAAAGAATGATTGAGTAAAAACACTGACCACTTGTGCTGTTTAAAGCATATGCTGGTCCCTTTGTGCTGGTAGTTCCACCAGACGTCGGCATTGTTGTGCAAATTAAAGACCCATTTCGACCAACAAGCACTGAAATCGTCCACGTGCCTGCCCTCATATTGAATGTGCCGTTTGGTTTGATGTTCCTGGATTCCATGTCACACATCACAGCACAAGAAACAGATGAATCCTCATTGCGATGTACTATAACATGATGGGGAAAAAATATTCTAAGTTACACCGACCGAGATCTTTTGAGATCTTCTGGTTTTGTTCTTTACTTCTGTGATTCTAAGTGTCCTACAGTACTGTAACACCTCATGGTCTATGTTTCTGTCCACTAAAGTCTAAATCGCTCCAACAGTTAAACATCTGCTCAAAGATTGTAGGCCAACCAATGCAGAGACTCTATACGAATCAACTTATGATAAAAAAACATGGTAAGGCTGACTAACAGCATCCACTCTTATCCTAAACACGCTCTGAACACAGAATATGAACTATTCCCATCAAACCGGAGATACAGGGTCCAACGTTTTGATAAGGTCAGACTGAACACTCTTTTGTTCACCAGTCAATACTCAGATTGAATGCAGAGCCGAATCCCAGATCAAAGCATGTTTAAGGCCTCTGAATATTTATTTGCTGATTCTTATGCCAAATCTTTGTATCATGTTTTTAATTTTTTTGTTGCAAATGGAGCCGCTGTGATGCAAGACAAATTTCAGACCATGTCTGACAATAAAGTTTTATCAAATCAAATGAGGACATTGTATGCGTGTGTGTTGTCTTACCTATTATCACACACAAGTTGATGGTAAGTAGCTTCTTCCAGTATTCATTACATCCATGTGTCCAGCACGTATACTTTCCAGCATTTTCTAATTTGACATCAAAAATCCTTAAAGACTTGTTTAAAGTAAGAGGGTTAAGGTATGACAGTCGATTTTGAACCGGGCTTCCGTCTGCAGTCACTTCACTGGCTTCAAAAGTCCATTTTAAGTTTGTGAATTCACTTGGACATGCATGAGTAAAATTGTGCCCTGCTCGAATGAAGAATGTCTCTTGAGTTTCTATCTCTGGAAAAAAAAAGAAGAACATTTGATTGAACAGAGGTCGTGCTTCAACAGACGTATAAAACTGATGGAGAAAGCGCTTATGTATTCAGCTTTAAGAGAACAAATAATGACAATTACATTTTTCTGACCTTTCTTTATACTGACGACTGTCTGTTGTTCACTCACACATTTGTTTTGAACACAAATTTCACACCAGTAAAGCCCTTGCTCTTCCTCTGTTAAAGAAACAATGACCAGGGAATAATTATTCTCTAGCAGTAACAAATTGGTTCGAAAATGCTGCTCTTTGGTTATCACTCCTGTTTTGTCTTGAAAAAGTATCCGTTTTTTGTTGCTATGTTCTTGCTTCTTGTAAAACCATTCGGCAGTGCTCGCATCACTTCTGTTAAGCTGACACGGTATCACAGCTCGACATCCCAATGGGTACTCCAGAAGATTTGTTGTAGCTGCTAAAATATAAGCTTTCTGTTAATCTTTTTGAGATGTTATATGAACAATCAATTACAAGAACAAAGTCACTTCCAAATATTATTTGTAAGATATAGTGAAATATCAATTATTTGGACAGTTACTTACTGTTTCCTGGGGAAAAAGGAGATGTGTTCCAAATAATAATCAGAAAAATAAAGCTTTTTTGCATCATGTGTTTGAGGTAAACACGTCTCTTAAGAAATCAACAAACAATCTGAAGTACATAAAACCCCCCTTAAGTGCTGAAGCTATTGCTTAACAGATCCGAGCAGAGACTCCTCTGCACCTCAGACGCTTTCTTGATCGCGTGTTACATCAAAATTCAAGTTCACAGATCGAAAGTGGTCTGTCAGTACGCAGAGGAAGTTTAATGTGGCTGTCACCCACACAGTTTTTTCTGGTGGTGTCGCATTTACTCCACTTTACGCTTTAGCACACAATAGGTGTTTAAATACAGTGAGCAACATGTTTCATTTCTCATGTGAAGGTATAAAACGGTTAGTCATTTGCTGCTTTTTTACACCAGTGATGGGATCATGAGAAAATTGTTCAAGTAAAATAAAAACTGTTATTGCGCTGTTTATATACATTACTCATCCATCAATCACTCATGAATTTACTATCTCACTGTACTTCATAAAATCTAGGTCATGGGCTTCAGTCATTTTTTCCAGTGGTTAATTTGTGTATAAGTTTAGAGATTATTAAGATCGAAAAAGAGCTGACACTGATAAAATCATTGTCTGGAAACTGCAGCAACGGAATATTTTATAAAGCAGGAACAAAATAAATCAGACCTGAGTCAAATAATCAAACGACCTGATCAATAATCATATTCACTCTTGAAATCTTCGGGTTTTGATGATTTTCAGTTTCAGGAGTCAAACAATAGAACAGCCTTAGTGCCTTGGCCAAATTAATTACTGATAACACCATAAAATGAGAATTAGAAAACAATTTAGAGTTCATCTGCTTTTATTTTTCCTTTTCTTTGTTGTATTACTGGTGTTCTGGGTTATATTAAGAATTGTATAGGATAGGCATAAATAAGCCTTAGACTTTAGTCTTTTCCTTTTTAGGTCACTGATTGTTTGAATTGTATTGTGTGTAATGGACCAGTGTAAACATGTAAACTGTTGTTTTTGTTGTATCTGTAAGGACTATGTAGGCCGACAAACATGTTTTTGACTCTTTTTTTAATGAATGACCAAAACAAAAAAATATTCATTGATTCAAATTTATTTTAACAAATGTATTTGACCCCAAAAGGGTGGAGATAATTCTACTTCTGCACGGTCCAGAGTTTGCCTATAACACACATCATAGCCTTGTAAAGAAACAGCACTGAAGGGGACCACAAGACTCTGCAAATAAAAGTATACGGTGTTTATTGCTAATCACATTAAAATCATAATCATTAAAATTGTATTATTTTTTAGGAATTAGGATACTTATTGTATAAAAGGTTATTATGACTTAAGATCTCGACACAATTGAGTCATAGTTTCAAGTAGCCTACAAAGGAGAAAACAAATTGTTGTGCCACAGATGGTTGTATGCACCGCTATAAAAAGCAAGCTTTATATAGCAAAGTTCAGCTTTTGTTTGAACTGTTAGTCTATAAAAAGTTCAAACAAAAGCTGAACCGTTTGTGTAGGCTATATAGGCCTACTGTAACACATTTTAATTAATTAATCTTAATTTAAATTTACGTTTCAAACTATTGTCAACAGGGATCGCAATCTTACATCTCTTTTGCTACCAAACCAACTAAAATAAACTGGTGTGATTTTTGCAGTGCACATCTAGCCTGCTTATCTTGTCCCGTTTACCGCTGTGTCTTTGTGGGACATAGGAGACGTCGTATCGGTTTTTTCTGTCAACACGGGAAGTTATCATTTGATTGACACACCGGGGGCAGATGCTCCTCCCCCTGCGGAACCACCGGTGATCACGTCACACCCATAAACAAGGACATATTGCTTACTTTTAACGAACTTCGTCCTTTAAAAAAGGTCACATTTGTTGTGGAAGAAGACTCTCTTCTCTCCACAAACTTCGCCGGAATGGAGCTGACGGCGGCTTTCGTGACATACCAGTTGGAGCACTTGCATCACTTGTTTGCTCTTGTCTGCATTGTTGCCGTCGTCTACAAGTTGAGCACCTTGCTTTCTAAGAGGGCAGCGACTTTGCGACTCACCGAGAATTTTCCAGGACCACAGAGACACTGGCTTTTTGGAAACTTAATGGAAGTAAGTCACTCTCAAGCTCACAGTTACGTAGTAGCAACTTCGACTTTGGGAGAGAGGACGAGTCAACAGGATGAAACATGCACATAGCTGAGTGCCTGTGGTTATATTCAAATAGCAATTAAGTAGCCTACAGTTTCATAGACTTCCTACGTCCTCAAGTGTGAATTGTTTCCAAGCATACAACTAAACTACTAAGTTACTAATGTAGAAATGTATTTTTTTCTGTACTACGCCTCTAATTATATACAATGACGTCACACAGGTGAATTAAATTGTGGCATATGTTCATGATAAATTGTGTAAAGTATTCTGCCCTACAAAGCCAAAGTGCAGTATCTGCACTTTTTGTGAAATTCACTTTTTTGCACAAATCGTAAGTGCAGTATCTGCTCTTCAACCTGTGAGAGTTTCATAGTTCTACTGCTTTATTTATTTATGTAGATATTGGGGTTTTTATTTACGCAGTATCTGTAAAATACACTGTGAAACTTACTGCAGTTTGCCTTGGTTTCACCATGAAGAAGGTGTCAGATACTGCAGTTTGCCTTGGTTTTAGGACCAGCCAGGATAAGGCTCATAACCAGGATACTCAATGTAAACGCACTCAATTTTATCAGAACCGGGGAGGTTACTTACAGCGCTCATGTAATGGGTAAAAATATGCAGAAAAGATGTGAAAATACTTCAGTTATTTTTGACACTACATGTTTTGAAACGATTCAATCACTGTTATGTTGCAATCCAAAAGTAATTTTATTTTTTTCTTTCAGTTTAAAAAAGGAGAAGAGTTTAACAAAGTCTTGAAATGGACCCAGCAGTACCCTTACATCTTCCCATTTTGGTTCGGCCCCTTTGTGTGTTCCTTCATCATTAACCATCCAGATTACGTAAAAACCATTCTGACGTCATCAGGTGAGTGAGCGATTCATTTTTGTCTTTGCTGAAATGAAAAACCTTGTTCAACTGGCGCTCAGTTAAGGCTTCAGATCATATAATGATTGACTACACCTTTTCCAATCAAGTCAATGTCGTAACTTTTTTTATTTGTTCTCCAACAGAGCCAAAGGATGATTTTGCATATAAATTTATCGAGCCCTGGATTGGTAAAACTGCCATGAGGTTTTATCTTGCAGCAGATTTTGGCAGATTGCAGAGTTGCTTATTTAGACAAGCTCACTCATACACCTGCTGTCTGTTTTTCTTTCAGGGGACGGGCTGTTGGTGTCAAAAGGCCACAAGTGGTTTAAGCACAGAAGGCTCATAACCCCGGCTTTTCATTATGATGTTCTAAAACCATACGTAAAGCTGATGTCAGACTCTGCCCAGATTATGTTGGTATGTAAAAGATTAAGTGGTAAACGTGTTAATCACAATGAAAATGTATAGGCCTTAGTTGTGTACTCTAGATGACATTTTTGAGTGAGTGAGTGAGTGGGTTGGAGTTTTCCATTTCCTGCTGAGGCCTCACATCTGTCCTCTCACTGATGCCAGGACAAATTGGAAAATTACGCAATCACCAACGAGTCCTTTGAGGTGTTTGAACATGTGAGCATTATGACACTAGACAGCATTATGAAGTGTGCCTTCAGTCACAACAGCAACTGTCAACTGGAGAGGTGAGTCTATTCAAAAACTAATTCCCGCCATGTGAAGTTTAACTCATGTGGTTCTCGAGTGGCTCACAACTTCAGCTATCTGAGTCACAGGGTAGATCAAATGCAGCTTTAAGTGATGTGCCTGTGCTCTCATTTCAGTGGAAAAAATGCATACATCAAAGCAGTGTACGAGCTCAGTATTCTGACTAACAAGCGTGCACGGACGTTTCCATACCACAACAACCTGATCTTCTACCTGAGCCCAGTTGGCTACAAATACAGAAAGGCATGCAAGGTGGCCCACGATCACACAAGTAAGACATAATATGACAAACTGAACTTTTCACTCAATTGGCACATTTGCAACATGACACACGCATGCATTGTGTTTATATTGATATATCTTCTTCAAGAATAGCTCATCCATTGTTTTGCCTTTTTTAAGATAACGTCATAAGAAAGAGGAAAGAAGCGCTGAAGGACGAGAAGGACTACGAAAGCATAAAGCACAAGAGACACTTAGACTTTCTGGACATTCTTCTCCTTGCAAGAGTATGTTATTTACTAAAGATAATCCTTTAAAAATAGTGATAATGCTACAATATTTAGCATTTAAAGCACACAAATAGTCTTACCAAAAAGGCAGTGTACAAATAACTACCTATATAAAAGTAGGTTTTAAGAGGGATTAAGTTGTATCATCTATTTTGTTTGTTTCCGTGTAATGAAAAGCCTAATACCTTATGTACATTAACTAAGGTATTAATGCATTATAATATTAATAACTGAAGGAGGTTTGATGTACAGCAACACATACCTTGCCACCAAATTAGGGAGAAAGGAGAGCCGCACAAAACAATAATTCACATATTCAACCTAAGAATATTTTTTTATTTTATCTACATCATTTGCAGTTATCATGTGCAGGTGGCCGAGTCTCAGTGAAACAGGGAACAAAAAGCTGCTGTTCAGGTGCAGAATGGTCCAATTAATGGACAATGGTACAAAGACAACAGTCAGGCTTTTTGTCCCCTTATGAGGCTCCTTTCAGCACTGAGACAGAAACTCAAATGCATACCTATGCTCTTATTTTGTAACCAGACAACAGGTTTACAATGTTATCAAATATAACATCACATTTTGAATCAGGAAGAAATGTCGCTTAAATGTTGAGATAATATCTCTGATCTGTTTCTTGATGATTGATTAATATGGAGGTCCAGCAACCTGATTTTCTGACCTTTAATAACAGTCACTATAAAGGCAAAGTAACACCTCTCAGGTCATTTGAGGTCTTCTAACATTGAGCATATTTTAGAAAATAAACAGAACAAAATAAACTGAGCTAAATTCTATTAACTGCTGTGGTTCAAATACTCAATAACAGACAAGTATATGCACAGAAAGGTTTTCTATTTTCCTCTTTGTCTCTCAAGTACAGCATGGTTTAGTATAACCGCCTCCTGGTTTAACCTGTTTTCCTTTTGAAAAGTCCTAGTTACCTTGTCTCTACTTTGACCTTGTGAAGGATTAGACAAATGTGTTATCTACGTCAACAGGTTGGACCTTTCTGCCTTTATTAGATAGGAAGAGACAGGAAATGTTGGGGGGGGGAGACATGCAAAGGGCCGAGGTCGGATTCGCTCCTATAAGGAATATAGTCTCCGTAAATGGGGCGTGCGACAAAATCCGCTAAGCTATCGGTGACCCTTCATTTGATGATTTTGTGTTTTCCAGTTCTTTCTTTAAGAATGGCTTGTTAAATAAATGAGTGACTTTAATTGGCACTTTTGAACTGGTTTGTTTAAATATTTCCTCATTACCCTCAGGATGAGAACCAGCAGGGTTTGTCAGATGAAGATATGCGTGCAGAGGTGGACACCTTCATGTTCGAGGGCCACGACACCACAGCCAGTGGCATCACTTTTATCCTCTACAGTCTGGCCTGCAACCCAGAGCACCAGAAGATGTGCAGGGAGGAGATCAATCAAGTCCTGGACGGCAAGGACACCATGGAGTGGTAGGCGTCTGTGTTGGGGAAAAAAGCATGCCAAACGCAATGCAAGTTGCAACGGCTGCTTGAAGTGAGCTTAAAGCAGTCACATTACCATTAAGAGCATCAATGACGAACGCTGCATGTCTGTCTTATTTTAAGGGAGGATCTCAGTAAAATCCCATACACGACGATGTGCATAAAGGAATCCCTCCGTCTCTTCCCTCCTGTACCGGGAATGTCCAGAAAAATCACCAAACCTTTGACTTTCTTTGATGGAAGGACTTTGCCTGCAGGTTTGTTGTTAAGTTGTTTAGATAAGACTTCATTACTTTTACTCTCTTGTGACAAGTTGAATTGTTAACTTGCATCGGCTTTGTCTTTTGACTTGTTGTGTTATGTAACTTACATCACTTATCTCCCCTTAAACCTACATGTTCTCCATATTAGTTCACAGGGTCTGGAAGTGTTTCAGCTAGCTCAGTGCTAAACAGAAAAATGTAACCTAAGATTGAACGGTTTTCCAAAATTCACCGGGTTTGACAATGCATGATCCTCTGTCAGGCTGCTGTTTGTTTAGGTGTTAAATTGTCGTTCTACTTAACCGTATTAACCTTGGATATGTTTGTGTTAAAGGGACACAGATCGGAACGAGTGTGTTCGCGATTCACAGGAATGCAACAGTTTGGGAAAACCCCGATGTAAGTGGACACTGAAGATAATCAGTGAAACATGTCCAAGATTTGATGCCTCCTCTCTGCTATGATGATTAACACCCGACATTTTTCTCCCACCATGTTTCGACACAGGTTTTTGACCCGCTGCGTTTCCTACCCGAGAATGTTAGAAAGAGGTCCCCTCATGCTTTTGTGCCTTTCTCAGCTGGTCCAAGGTTTGTTCTCGCCTGACACCATGTGATAGCTTAAAGCTTTTTGCTGTCTAATCCTTTACCTTGCCGAGGTCTGCAAGTGTGTGGATGTTTAACCCAAATATAATAAAAAAAACTGGTGTTGGGTTTTATTGGTTAACAGGGTGAGGAAAGACTGTATTGGACTCCAGTGTGACGCAGGAATGGCTGTTAAGGTGGTTAAAAGAAGTCTGTGTAGGCACTCAGTTATCCAGGTCATGGTCAATGAGAAGCTTGATCGAATGTCAACTTGACTGGCTAAAGGCCTTCAACCAATCCAGTGGTCAAAAAACACTTTAATTTATGCATAACAGTATCAGAAGTGTTTGATTGATCCTACAGGGAGTTTATATTAAGAATGAGCATTTTTCATTCTCTCTAACTTTTGTAAACGTCTGAGCACATTAGCTTAATCTTGCACTATTTGAACAGTTCTTCGTTGTTCATGTCTCTTGTTTTTCTCAGCTTAAAAGTGTACGCTCCGAAATGTCTTAAAATGATTTATTTGAGAAAGTAATCATAAGAAGACTTGTTGATCTAATGTCTTAATCTGCATTGATACAGAGAGGCTGTCATATCTGCATGGTAAACAGATATATACAGTCGGATGTGCCCAATGAGACAGGGATAGAGTACCAAATGATTTTCAGCTGTGTTACTTTTTTCTGTTACTGTAGCTAAATATAGCAAATTACATTTTTAAAATGTTTATTTTCAGGCTTTTATGCCTTTTATTTTGAGACAGGAAAGTGGATAGAGTCAGAAATCAGGGGGAAAGAGAGTGGGGATTGACTTGCAGGAAAGGAGCCACAGATCAGATTTGAACCCTGGTTCCCCACTTGGAGGACTATAGCCTTTGTACATGGGGCGTGCACACTAACCACTAGGCTACCAGTGTCCCCAAACAAATCACATTTTGACCACCTTGTTGTTTCACAATACAATGGTCCTGTAGTCAGACTTATTAGAACAAGTAAATGTTTCTTATTCATCAGTTGCACATGTTGTATGTATTGATTAATTTAGGAAAACAAACATCTTGAGCTTCATCATATAAAAAAATACAGGACTGTTTGGGGTTACTTAAATTCACATTCAAACTGATAATCTCGTACAGCCTTGCTGGTTTAGGGCTGCTGTTGGCTCCATAAAAGAGAGGATGAAAGCCACCAATCTCGTGAAACCTTTTATTATCATTTCCCTTAGTGTTGAATTTTATTTTATTTTTTCTCCCTCAGAAACTGCATCGGTCAGAACTTTGCCATGAATGAGATAAAAGTGGTGACAGCACTGGCACTGAAGAGATACCATCTGATAGAAGACCCCACAAGGAAACCCAAGATCTTTCCCAGACTGGTTATGCGCTCTCTCAACGGCATCTACATCAAGATCAAACCAGTAGAGCCAGGAGAGTGAAGAGAGATGACCACAGGAAACACTGGACCCGAGTCAGAGAAGGGGACACTTTGTGAAGCTTTTACAATTTCTGATATTTGAAAAGCTTTACGCTGATATCGAATCACTAACTGATTTTATTTTCATAGACATTAAGAGGGAAATTTACTTTGTAGTTGCACTAATGATCATTTATCATACCACAGAAGGTTTTAAGGTTGCACTTTATTTTTGGAAAAAGGAATTAAGCTTCAGTATATTGTGCTATGACATAAATAAATATAGAAATAGAAATACATCTTTGAAAGTAAACCTTTAAATGCTTCATTTGAAAATGCACTATAATAGATAATTTACTGTACGTTCTTAAAATTCAAAATGCAGGAATTCAATATACTTCATTTTATGATAACTCAGCATTTTTATAAAGCTCACTGACATTTTGTCGGTTCAGTTATTTAATTTCTATGAAGACTTAAACATTAACCAAGTTTACTATCTAAGTGTTAAAGATTCATCTCTGGAAGAAGGTTGTTAAAGTTTCCTTTTTTTTTTTAAATGAGGTCCAAAGTATACCTGGACACACACACAAAGAGGTATATTGTGTCGAATCAATCCGCAGATTTATGTCGTAGATAAGTGTGCAGTATAGCAGTTAATTCACATTGGATCACATTCGTTCTCAGTCTGTGATGTTTGTTCAAAATTCTCCGAGAGCTTTCAGGGTTTAAATGGCTGAATTAAGTGTAAAGGCTTATGAGTCAAAAGTAGTTCATTTTTTATTTACAGTTATAGGAATACAAAATTCACACTCCCACAAGGGCAAAAAGTCATCAGCAGATTGTAAAAGTAAAAGTCCTCCATGTTCCTTGATCTCCACCCTTTTACAACTCATTTTAAGATTCTATGAAATGGCCAAATGAGCTGTGCATTTTCTGTGATGATGTCACACTGCATTAAAGAGTTAAACTTCACAGAAAATATTTATGTATGCATTTAGTATCAACTTAACTTTCTCCAGATAAATACCAGCCCTATAATTCACATCAAGGTTGAGAGCTGAACTACCAAGACAACCTCTTAAAAGAAGAAAGTTGTTTCTGTGGTGGCCTCTTGGTTTGACAACATTTCACACAAGACCACAGCGCGCTCCGGCTGAGGACTTTTAATGACTGTCCTGGTTTCTCCATTCATACTTATCTTACTATGTTTTCTGCTTCTGTGCAAACACAGGTGACACCTATGTCACAAATCAGTCCAGGGTGAAACAAAACAAATTATAAGGACACCGTTCAAGCTGCCCTGCACTCTATTGCAAGTGGATAAGCTAACATGCTACTTGACCATTAAATTATACTTACGAAAATCAAGAACTTTCTTTTTTAAACTAGCTCTTTATTGTGCAGCAAAGTTGGTATTTGTTAATATGCTGTCTTTACTGTTATTACTAATGAGAGACAATGTATTTGACAACATAGACAACTGTAAGGTCCTTGTATTTACAGTCTACTGGTGCCCAACATTTCATCAAAAGCCAAAGAAAAATAGGATCCATATACCGTTTGTTTAGGGGAAATGGCTTTTTATATGCAGAACAATATACTATAAGCTTGTGAGACTATTTCATGGGGTGCAACATGTTTTTTTTTCCCCAACAATGTTAAGGTTAGTTCAACTGGTCATTGCAACGGCACCTGCAAGTCTGCAGCCAAATGTTCTGTGCTCAAGTCACCATCTAATGGCTTATAGGACAAATAAAAGACACTTTGGTTGACGTCATGTTGGTCTAATACATACATGGAAATGTTTAAGTGAGTCAAACACTTCATCACATTTTATCAACAGGTTTGAAAAAAAATGAAAAGCAGCCCTGTGTGTCGATAGAAACTTACTTCATGTCTCTGACTCTCCTCCCCTCTCACAGTAAAATCTCTTATAAAAAGTACTTTTTTGTCAGTCTTTAGACAGCATTATCAAAATACTGGAGTGACAAAAACTAACTGTTGAAACATGTTTAGTACAAAAAAAATCCAACTTTACACCCAACACAACCAAAAAAAAAGGGGGCCATCACATCCATGTAGTCTCTGACTCACTGATAATGTCAATGCTAACAGTAGGTCTTAAAAGTTTGATACGTTTTCTTTGCAATAAAGAAAAAAGACAAGATTCTGCTGTAGCCATCTGCCGACTTTGTAATGTCCACGGGGCACAGTGACAGACCACAGGGAATGCTGTGGTGTTTTCCTGTGATGACAACGAGAAGCACAACTGATAAAAAATAGAAAAAGAAAACATTTGGAAGCGTATGACTCCGCCCCTGCCAGGTCACAGTCCCTGATGTAGCCGCTGGTAACCTGAGAGTCAGCAGCTTGAACAAACTGGTTAGATGAGTAGTGAGGGGGTGGGTTTCTTTCCTGGCCAAGCCTCTTTGGCATACTTCTTTTTGCGGGGCTCGTTGAGGGTCTCTGGTAGGTAGGGGGCTGTGACAGGGGTGGGGTTGAGAGTGACGGGGGGCTGGGGAGCATCTGGGGCCAGGTCCACCTCTGGTGCTGGATTGGGGAAGGGCAGAGGGAGCCCTCCCTGCATAGCAGCACCTCCTGGGGCTCCTGTAGGCTGGTTCTCATGACTGGTGGGAGGCAGGTCGCCATAGAGACCACCACCCAAGCTGTAGGCGTGGATACGCTTTGAACCAATGTCATCAAGACCAAGACTGTTAAGGCCCTCTGATCTCCGTTTCTGCAGAAGGTGTAATAAAGTAAATGTGTCATACATGTTCTATTAATTAAAACTTAATCAGCTTGGCACACTACATCGCTTCCAAACTGCCATTTTTAGACAGCCTAGATTTTTTAGTATGTATGTGGCCGCCAAAGTATATTTGCCAACCATTTTTGCTTTTTAATCTGTGTAAGATCGCCATCCGGGATCGGTGAGCTAGTGGGCAAACTCTCCTCTCTCGCTCCCCTTCTGTCTTACACGTGCTCTGCAGGTGATAAGTGAGAGAGAATCGTCTTCTAGCATGTCTCTCCTGTCAATGTTTTAATTGAGGTGTGATATGTCGTGTTTAATATGAACTGTCCTCTGTTTCAATAAGTCTGTGCACTTGTTTCTTGTCTTTGTCATTCTGCACTCTTAGTTTTGGATGGACATGCTACAAGCCCTGTGCACACGTCCATCACGTGCAGTACTCCTGATGTAAACGTATTACTGATGGGAAGATTTGTGTCTAAAGATCAGACACATGCAGGCATAGAGGCGGAGTGAGCTGTGTGCATTAAGAGAGAAGAGGGGGAGGTGACTGTGTGTGTCGGTGCGTGTGCATGTAATAGAACAGGAATGAACAAAGATGAGCAAATTAAAGTTGGTTGTGAGCAGCCACTTATAAGTAAGTAACAAAGTTTATAATAAGTTGGAGAGAAAAAAGCAGATTTTATATATAAAATGACCTAATAGTAAGTAGGTAAATAGGTTTATTAAACTCACCTTAGGTAATATAAATTTGGTAATGTATATCATATCAATGTATACATGTTTTTAAAACCCTTCATGACAAAGCAGTTCATCATATCTCAAATGTTAAGCAACTGATCTAGACATTATTAAACGACAAAAACAAAGGCTTACCTTTATTGGGACGACAGCTGTCTGCACCATATTTCTAAAGCGTCCCACCGAGGGGTCAATGTCCTCTGCAAGGTAAAAAAAAAAAAAAAGGTTTAATACTTTATTGCAGGGTGCAGTTCACCTCTTTACAAGTAGAAGTGCACATGTCTCATCAGTGACAAACTGTTGTTTAACAGTTACAGCATGACATGCGGCTACTCGCTGCAGAACCCTTCCAATCACATTCAGCGGAATAACATTTACTATCTTCAAATCACAAACTAGGAAAAGTTATTAAGAATTAAGATAGATATTCAAGTCGAGAGTAAACAAGATTCAAGAGATGACCCAAATAGTGAAATTAAATTGGTGAGTTTGCCTTTTAGATTACATGTTAGAAACACATATTCCTCCAATTTATAACAACGAAAAATGTCAGTAATAGATTAGAGTTGTTTATGGTCCATGTGCTTCTTTTACATTTTCTGGTTTCACTTTGGTTTGTACCTGGGTTAATGACGGAGTCCTCCTCATTGAAGGTTACTCTAGAGTTCCTCCGTTTCCTCTTAGGCCTCTGGATTTCTAGGTTGCCCTCCTCTATGGTCAGCAGGGAGATGCGCTTGTTGTGGGCCGTGTTGAACTCTGTCAGGTTCTGGAAGGTTGCAGAAAGCAAAAATGCAAAACATAGTGTAATGTGGTTGAATTATTGTGATTCAGCCAGTGCATTGATACGCAGCAATTCTCTTTCACCAGCAGAGGGCGCTATATGGACGCAAGCATTATCCCTCTCCAGAGTGGCAAATTTATAGGCGTTCTGTATTGTGTTTGTTATGTTGATTAACTTTACAATCAGTAAAATAGTACAAATAATAACGCAACTTTTTATGTTACAGACTGTTGTCCTCAGATTGTCTTTACAGCATTTTCAAAAAAAGAGAAAGAGTTCAGGTTCATCTGTCTGCTTGCATTATGATTTAAATTGTAGCAGTATGTAGGCCTATAATGAACAAGAAATAAGGATACAAAACATATCCGACCCATGATGCACAATCTGTGATACTTTTGAACCCCTACTTTACACTAGAGCAGAGATTCAGCAGCATTATAAAGCTGATGGTCAACTTAAAATGACTATGTGTTAATTAATAGACACCATGCATTAGCTGGTCACATCACATTATCACTAAATCATTTCTGGAAACATTTTGTACTTTGCATTTTCATTTGTACTTCATAAAGATCAAAAAAAAGAAATCACTTGAATGGATCTAAATGCATTTAAGACAGTGTTCTCCTTCTATGCCAGCTAAACAGGTAAAGACACAAAATTCTGACATTTTCATCAGTTTCTGTTTCAGAGCATGAGAATATATCTATATGTATAAATAAATAAAAATATTAGATGTACCTCCAGCTCTGTCTCTTCCTCTGGAAGCCCAAGCAGTCCTTTCAGCTCTTCGTCTTCTCCCGTCTTACTGTCTCCTGTACCAGCTGTGCCTTGGGTTTGGGGTTTCTCTCTGATGGTGTAGGTCCGTGTCGAAGCCCCAAAAGATATCGTGGAGTCTATGGGAACTTGTTGAGGCTTGTGCGCCTCCAGACGGATGTGTCCAAGGAAAGTACCATGAGCTAAAATGGCACATAAATAATAAAAATGGCATTGTTGTGACAACACAATCGGGCAGACAGCTTCTCTTGAATATGATGTCGTGATCAGGACTCGTTATTCGCAAGACTTATAAATCTGTAAAACATTTCTGAAGTGGTTGAAATATCGCTTTTGAAAGGAAGTCTTACTGCTGTTGAGGTCAATAAGAAAGACCCTCTTCAGATGTTTGTGATAGACCAAGGCTGCGTGGACACGTGAACATGACTGATGGTCGATAGTGAAGTCACACCAGTCTGGGTTCCTCCCAAACAGATAGTACTTCTTTTCATCTATGATCAGTTTCTAAAAAGGGAGAGACAACTTCAGTTAAACAATGTCCTTAAAAATCAACCGATGATACAGTCTGCAAACAGTCTGTGCCTTGGAGCCATAACTTAACAGTGCTGCTCCCCACTGAAAAGCTTAAATCTCAGGGCTGATGCTGCTCTCGCACCGTGTGAAGCCGTGCAGCCATGGACGACCCCAGTGTGCAAAACACCTGGGACAAGCTGGACTGTCAGGCTAGTATCTGGTGCATTCAACCTCCAACTATGCCATCCATTACAATAACACACTGACTAATAGAAGATGAGCTCCCGGTTACCTCCATGAGTTTGTCTCCCTTCATCACATCTAGATGGAGACCCTGGGGAGGCTTGCCTGCCCTAAAACACAACAAGTTGGTGAAGGAGTTAGATAGTCACGCAGTCCTCATTAAAGAATATACTTTAAATGTGGTTAATAAACAAGTTTATAACGTTGTTTAGTCTGTTTCGTAAAAACAACCTCTCGTTATGGTCGTCATCACCTGCAGGAGAAATGCTAATCTAACACATGTCAAAACTACAACATAGAACAAATACTATACAGTGTGTCCTTTATATATCACCACCTGCCTTCATATTGTAAAATATTTAAAAAAATATAACATACGAAGCATCTACTTTGAAAGAAATCTCATTTGTAAGTTAATGCAAGCGTTAAATGGTTAGCATGCTAGGTAGCTATGTGGCTAATATTAGCTGCGGTGACTACAGGCTGCTCTCTCACTAAAAGGTGTTTTTTGTTTTTTTTTAACAAATGCAGGAACGTTGTTCTGCTCAATTGTTGCATAATGTTGCATGAAAAATAAATATTGTAACTTTGACATGTGAATTTTCTCACCATGTTGGACAATCAAAAGGAGGGGGACCCTCTTTGCTTATTTTAGTCGCCATCTTGCCGTTTCTTATCGGCGCCGAGCTGCATGCTGGGTAAAGGTCCCTCTGGGTATTTGGGAGTTGTAGTCCTGTAATCCTTTCACGTAAAACTATGGTAAAACTCCAAACCACACCACTTAAATAATGTAGCAGCATAAGTCCATAGCTAAAGAGGCAAATTTGATAAAGACTTCTTTCATTGGGTTAATTATATATTATATTTATTTATATTTATATTATATTATATTATAACTCACACTGAACAAAAAATACTTTTAGTTCCTGAAAGAAACACTAGAGGTCCTCAGATTCAACAAAGTCGTGTCCTGGAATAAATTAGTGGTTTTGATATGGTTTTGAATGTGAAGAAATTAGATTTGTGTTGCAAGGATCTTACACAGTTGTGGTTTCTTGCCTCTGTTGACTTTGAATAGTGAAGAATAGTATAATCCCATTTCCTCTACTTACAGTAGCCTATGTGTTTGTTTGTGTAGCCTATCTGATTATATGTGTAATGTTTTAAAAGGAAATTGGGCATAAACCAAGGTGGATCATGGAAAAGCTGGGGAAACCCCTCAAGAGGCTACATCAACAGACCAGACTGGTGGTTATGAATGCTGCTGTATGCTTCATACGGAAAGTCAGTAGCTGTGAGGGGGTGCCGCGTAATGCCACAGAGGTGGGACGGTTCTTCACAGTGCTGATCTACAGAAGGAAGTGAGGGGAGATGTCTTTTCTATTGTGATGTAGTATGAGATAGTGAGAGAACCCAAGGGGTGATTTCCTGTAAGAAGGGGTTGGATTTATTTGGAGAATAAAGAAGGTACACTGACTAAAATGTTATTACCCACTACCTCAGGGTGAAAAACGTCCTCTATGTCAATTATCAACCAATATTATTAAGTAATAGAAAGGAGGACATTCTCTATTTTGCCTGGTAAAATCTGTCTTCACAGTTGTAACTTTGTTTTTGACCAGACCGATAATTTTGTTTCATGTGAAAAACTAAATGGAGGCTGTTGGTTTTGAAAGGATAACTGATTATATCCTTTTGAAATATGATTATCTCTAAGAATGTTGTGTTTGCACATTTAATATTTGCAATCCAAATATCAATCAATCAATCAATTTTTATTTGTATAGCGTCAACTCATAACAAGTGTTATCTCGAGACACTTTACAAAAAGCAGGTAAAATACCTTACTCTTTGTCTGTTAACATTACAAAAGAGCAGGTAAAAAGACCTTACTCATTGTTATGTTACAAAGATCTGGCCTATCCATCATGAGCATTTACACAAATGCACACAAATTTTGTACTTAATTACATATAAAGGTATGCCATACATCTTAATGTATGTATAATTTCACATTGTCAGCCACCAGCTGCTACCTGCAGGTTAAGAACTCAACATTTTCAACAACTCCACAATATAACATATAGCTTAAGTCATATCTTTGTCCTCAGTCTGTGAATGCAAGCATTGTGCAAAAAGCTTCCGTGACTTCCTCATTTGCTTTTGTGGTTTTAGACAGAGAACACGTCTCCCTTTTTTGCTTCTCTTGTCATTTGCCTTCTTTTTTGCTCACAGCTCACCGAGGCAGCAGTGATGGCAGACATGACTGCTTTGCCACTTCAGCAGCTCATTGCTTCGTTGGACAACACTTGTCTGCCAAAAATTCTACAAGTTTGCTCTGGAGTGTATTTCCAAGGTAGGATTTTTATTGTCCCGTTCACTTTGAACCGAAGCTGTGAGTGTAGATGAGGACAAAGAGGATAAGAGATTACTTGAGTTCAGGTGACTCTGAAAACGTTTATGTCAGCTTTTATAGTTTTTGTCTGTGTGATCCATTTCTATCTAGTTATATACAGTAGTGTTTGTTTTTGTGTTCTTCTCTTCCTCAAAGATGACATTTAAGGTAGTTAGTTTAAAAGTTCAGTTATACCATTAGAATAGAGAAACAAGTCACAATAGGGTACATAAGATTGTGTCACAGTTTTGAAAAGCGAAAGGAAATACATGTATGCTTCATTTATCAGCTCATTAATGATGTTTTATCCTTGTGTTTTTTTTTTTTTTTCTCTTTATTGCTCACTTTTGTTTTAGGGTCTATATATGAACTTTCTGGGAGTGAAGTGTGCTTTTCTACCGGGGATCTAATAAAAGTCATTGACATTGAGCCCTTATCAGTTTGCTGTGAAGACATCAGCAACAAAGAGAAGTTTGAGCTCCCCATCAACCACACAGGTCGGTCTGAGCTGTAAATAAGATTCTCATGAGAAGAGATGTATATTTATAGCTGAGCGCTGACACTTGTTGCTGTTTCTCAGGCTTGTTCAAAGTTGTTCCGGAGGAGATGCCGTACAGTTCAGTGGAGGAGATGTTGAGCCTGAGGCCTGTGGGCCTTGAATCCTGCCTTCCCCTTCACTTTCACCTGCAGCTCCAAGATGACCCTAGGAAACTTCACACTGGGGGCCGGGAGAGCTCTGACAGTGCTCTCCATTGAGCAACGGGAGGGCACGGAGGATCAGGTGCGCTGCCATGTTCAAGGGCAACAGGAAGCCTCTGCAGAAGTGTGTATCCCCTTCTCTGTCCAAGGGGAGTTCAGGGAGTGTGAGAGCAAGGAGTGCTTCACTGTGCAGGAGATCATGGCTTCGCCGTGCCTGAGAAGTCGAAAGTTTCGTTTCATCAACGCCACCAAGTGTGAACAGCCACTTATCCTCAGTCCGATATATCAAGTCCACGCCATCATGAACTGTAAGAATACACTACTTCATTTTCATAAGATTTACATAGACTTGACCTGTTGAATAGAATTGATTGATGTTGTGTGTGTAAAAGAGTTATTTAATCAAGGGGCAGCCGTGGCTCATTGGTAGATTTGGTTATCCATCGATGAGAAGGTTAGCGGTCTGATACCCAGCTCCTGTAGTCACATGTCAAAGTGTCTCTGGGCAAGGCACTGAACCCCAAATTGCACCAAGATGCATTGCCAGCAGCATGCAAATGTATGAATTTGTGAATATACTAATGGGAACTTTGTATAGCACCCTCTGCCATCAGTGTATGAATGTCTGTGTGAATGGGTGAAGGTGATGTGTAGTGTAAAAGCAACTTAATTGGTCAGAAGACTAGAAAAGCGCTCGATAAGCCCATTTACCATTCAAATATTGCATTGAACATGAATATGTAGTACTTGCACTTAACTTCAGAGTTTTCAGGTTTTGTCACCCCACTACATTTAAGAGGCAAATATCTTTTAACAATTGCATTAATCGATTGAATGGAGCAAAAATAAAGAGCAAAAATAGTCAGTAGTATCAGCTTGAAAATAATTCAATTTGTAGCAGTTCTTTACAATTAACACAACCAATATAAAGATAATTAGACTCCATGCAAGTATCAATAACAGCTTGTGAAACTCAAACTAAAAGAAAAACATGGTAAAAAAAAAAAGTACAACAAAGTCAGCAAAAAAGGAAAAAGGCAGCCCGTAAGCCCGCAGCGGTCAGGCTCATGGGGGATGAGCAGCTCACTGAAGTAGGCTGAAGTCTGGCTTTTCAAAACCAGCAGTAAAATTCTTCTATTAATAATTCTTACGTAATCTCTCTCATTTCTCGACAGTGAGGAAGAATGTGTTGAAGTTTCCTTCCAGCTTAGAAGTGGATGTGGTCGACGTCACCGAGCTGAGTTTGGATGTGAATTTCGTGACCCCGCTCACTCTCACAGAAGTCTTATCCCAGCCACCTGAATCTTTCCCTGTAGTGGTGGAGATATTGGAAAGCCCTGATAACGTCTCTCTGTTCAAGAGCAGCTGGCTGCCAGAGCTCAGCCGGCGTAAGAGCCTGATTTTCCACAAGACGGGAACCTCAGCCTATGTTTTATTATCCAGCATGAAAAGCCGAAAGATGCAGCAGTACTTTTTGGTTTCTCAGCAATATGGCGGACGATTAAGGAGAAGGCCGAGGGAGTTTGAGTCTGTGTACCAGCTTTACGTTGCTTCGCTCCAGACCCCGGGTCTGAAAGTCAGTGTGACAAGGAACTGCGACGAGGTGGAGGAGGAGGGGCTGCCTTCTCTCAGTGTGGGAGAACAGCTGGAGGTCGTTCGCTGCGAGAGGATGGAGCTGCCTACTGAAAACAAGGGACAGAAGCAGTCAGTTGAGGCTCTTCTGTGCCTGCGCCTTCAAGAGCCAGATGACGACGATGAGGATGATGAAGAGAACGTCAAGCAGGAGGATGAGAGAGAGGAGGTTTTTCTGCCTCTGTACATGCAGGGTCACTTTGTGGAAGTGCTCGCTGAAAATAAGAAGTACAAACTCAGGGACCTGGGGAAGGAGTTTCGTTTGCCGCTGGATGTCAAGGTGGTGAGCCGTGACACTGAACTTGAGACCGATCCACTAGTTGGGTTTCAGTGTCTCCGAATAGAGGGGGCTATGTTAGAGCCCGTCATCCAGGTCAGCCTTCTAGACAGGCCGGACCACTGTTTTGAAATCCCAACCACGTGGCTTAATATGTCTGTCTCTTTCACCAAAGATCCCCTTCCATGGCCCCGCGGTCAACCACCCAAATGCTGTGTGGATAGAGTCACAGAGGTGACGGACAGGTTCTTTTATGAATTTCAAAAACAGGGGGGCTCAGATGCAGCACCTCCACCTCGACCACCAAAGCGGAATCTGTCTTCTTCAGAGGCTTGCAAAAAATCGAAACCGTCCAAGAAGTCATCCAAGGGCGACAAAGCCAAACATCGACCAGACAAAAGCGTCCCATCCAAAGAGTTTGCTGATTTGACTTTGAATAGCAAAAGAAGGCCCCCAGCGCCCCCGCCTCCAGTAAGTTTGGCTTCTCGTGTGTGTTTTGCAGCCACACAGCTTCTTAAAATCTAGTCTCATGTTTCTCTGTAAGACCACAGTCAAAATGTAGGTATTTTCTCACAGTGTGACTTCTACGAAATCTCAAAATGGTCAGAAACCTCAGGGTATGCCAATATGCGATGCTTCCTCTTTAAGTCGTGGTAAAAATAAGTCATCTGGGTCATAAATATGTATGTTTCCTTATTTTCCCATGCAGGCTCTCTCAGACGATCAGCCTCCTCCAATCGCACGCCGAAAGCACTCTGGGCCTGAAATGACAACAGCCAAGGCGCTGCCAAACACTTACGTGCAAAGGGAGGAGGGGAGGAAAAAGGGTGAGGCTTTCTCTGCAGACTGCATCCCTCAGGTGTCAGTCATACTCGAGTTGCAACATTCCCCAGAAAACTCTGGATTTATCTTCACATTTTCCTCGTGAAAGGGCCTAAGCAACAAAGCTACCCGACTACCGCTGTGGCACTCAGCCCAAGCCCAATGTTTTTCTACCAGTGGTCATTCTTGAAAAGAGAAAGAGCACTGTAGATTTTAGTACAAAATAAAAGCATCAGTGTAAATGTTGAGTTGAAGGTGAACCACAACAGCTAAGGAGGCTACTTTTAAGAAAGGCTACAGATATTTTGGACACAGTTCCAATTTACTATTTTCTTTAGCTGATGAAATCAATGTTATAGTTAAACCATTACAACTTAAGGAAATTACAAAATCCTTATGTTTTGTGACAGTTTCATATCCAGGAGGGTTTATTTCTTCTATAATGATACACTTGGTGTGCATTATCCCAAGCAAATTGACGCTTTATCACACGTTTTCCGAGCTCTATGTCAGGCTTTGTCTCCATTCAATAGCCTATTGATTTTTGTCTTCTGATGGAATAGTTTAGTTTTGAGTTTTACTGCTCAATAAACCATAAGATCTCTCTCTTCACCCCCCCCCCCCTCCCTCCCTCCCTCAGTGCCGCTGTGTGACGTGGAAGCAGACGTGGAAGCAGACGTGGACAGCGACCACGACTATGAAATCGTGGATGAGTCTCTGTTAGCGATGATGAAGACGGCGCAGGAGAGTGTCGTATTCTTCTAACACATTGTGCCAAGCTGCAACAGCCAAGTAGCTTATCTCATCAGGACAAGTGAGGAAAGAATTCAGGAACATTTTATATTGCAGTTTTTTAAGCTTTTCTATGTTGAGTAATGTTATTCTTACATAGGCATCGTTTTATGTTGAGACTCTACAGTCTGACCGATCAAACTATACATGGAATCCTAAATATTGTTGTAAAGATAATGGTTTGAATGTTGTGTGTGTAATTATTTTTAAGGGTTTTGTTAAGCCTTGATATTTAAGTTTACATTCATCTGCCTAACTGCACATGTGAGCACATCATTCTTTTGCATGTTGATATCTGTAGAGGTTTTGATGACTGGAAACAAAGTAGAGAACAGTTTTTAATGCACTGGTGACTTGGTTAAACTAGAAGGACACAAGGCAGATGAACGAGGGTGACATAATTCAGTTAAGGGGAAATACTTGGGAAAAGTTCACTCAATCACACAATGAGTTCATATCAAGGCCACACCCCCCTGCTTCTCATGTGGTCATCTTTGGTCTTCATTCCGTGCTAACCGTGTATCTCTCTCTGCTCCGAGTCACACCAGTCCTTTTTAGGCATTAGGCGGCTGTAGCTGTGCCATGTACTTCACACAGAAGCTTCTGCTGTACTATTTATGGCTGTGTTAGAATGTGACAGATGTAGGACGTTTGTATTTAAACTTGTCAGAAAGTAGTGTGTTGAACATTATTGTAGTTTTGGCGGCTGCAGCTTGTAGCTTTGCATATGGATATATTTTTGTTAAGAAGACGAAGTAGAGTTAACAATGACCTGAGAATGAATAAAAAAAAAGGCACTTGTATAAACGTCAAACTGGTTGTATTGGATTCTATGTATAAGCACTTAGTGGATTTTTTCAAACTCATACAGTATACATGCAAACTCGAACAGAAAGGGATCAAATACGGTTTCTTTTTTTTTTGCACAGGCAGCAGTTCTTACCACAAACACAGCAAATTGCCAGCTCTGCCACTTCTGCACCCAGCTCTGGCTAGGAATAGCAGAAGTTCCACCAGGTGTCACAACAAATTAATGAACTGAGAGCACACAATGATGTTACAGGTTGTCTCAAATCCTGTTTATTTGGTCGCTGAAAAGGTGTGTTGTTGGGACTGCCCAACGTAAACATGCTGTTGACTTGCAGTATGTTGAGTTAGTTTACTTACATTAAATAAAGGTTTTAGAGAATTTTGATATGGGGGGCATATAGAGATAACACTCATATTTAATATTGCCATTTGTGGTAAGTTTAAATTAATAGAAAAAAATATGTATTTTTCTTGAGTATATTTTGAACTAAATACATCATTTAAAAAAATAAAAAAAAAAACACTACACAAGACACAGTTGGTCATACCCAAACGTTTAAAGCGACACTTCAGTTTGTGGTTCCACAACTTAAACTGTAAACACAAGTCAGCAATTTCAGTTTTTTCAGAGCTGAATACATTTGCAGGTTTATTTTTACATCATTGTAGGTGTTGGTGAAAGGCGGTGATTTACAAAAAATTAGAAACCATCAGACGATTGGCTTGTATATTTCCATACTCACTGCATGGACTTCGTGATGAAGGGATATTTATTCAAAGTGTTAAGTGTATTTGAAACAGAAGATGTCCTGAAGGTTTCCGTGAAGTCTTTTTATTCTGGCAAAAGGTTCGTTACAGAGACAATAATAAACTGAGTGCTTGTGTTCCAAGTCTTTAAAAGTACAAAAAGCTTTAGAAAGAAAAGGGGGAGATTTCACAGAGTAGCAGAAGCGTCTTCAGGGATGCAGGATGTGTTAACCCCACCAAACCTTAACCATGTGATCTTCAACTAACACCAACCACAGAACAGTAAGAGAGACCTACAAGGTTGCACCAGAGTTTTATATTTAGCTGTTAGCTTTGTGCTATAAAATCTATACTATTTAATCCAAAAAAAAGTAACCCAACAGGTGCTAAGGAGATCTATTCATCGTTGTCTGTTGATTTGTAGTGGTCTTCATCGATGGTGGAAAAGATGTGTCCTTCATTGCTTAGGAATTCCACTGCTTGCCTGAAAGAGAACAAAATACTTTTTTTTTCATTTCAAGTCATGCTAATTCAAATTTTTCTCATTCAATTCAATCAAAAAATTAAATTTCTACTGTTAATGTACCTTCTAATCACATGTCCAATGGACAGTTCATCCAGATTTTTTTTTTTTTTTTTTTTTAGAATAATTAACGGCTTCAGAGAATCATCCGTTTTGCAAAAAAGTAAAACTGATATTTCTAAGTTTCAAACTGGGATAAGACGATTCTCAAACCCTGCTGTTCTTGTTCTTCTGCAGAGATAAGTCTGTGAGGTTAACATTGAGGAAGTTCATTAGGTTTCTCATGTTGCATGGAGCCGACGAGGGCTCATGCTCAGTTTAATATTCTGTGCGCTCTGAGGTTCCACACGTGCCTGCACTCTTTCTCTTCTCTGCTCTCTTGTCTATGTGTGGGAAACACTGATATATAAGGAATTATTACACTGAGAAAACTGGTTTAAAATACATGTAGACACCTGACTATTGTTTGAGACAAAGAATGAATCTGTCTCTCTAGTTAGATGGCTGTAAAACCTTAAAAAAAAAAAAAAAAAAAAAAAGATTAGGATAACGTGTGAAATAAAACAAGAAAATACTCACTGAACAACTAAAACTCTTTGCTTTGTGAGGTTTACCAGCAGAACTACGTTCCCCTCATGTGTTTAACATTTGCCACAGACTACAGGCCTGACAGAACCTCACAGTGGTCATCCTGACACAACTCACAGAGAGGCTGATTTGTTTCCTGGAAAGGATTCTTGGGTTTCTCCCCCGTGGAACTGTTACCCTTTACAAATTTAAATAGTGATGAGTCTTCCTTTCATACTACAGGTTAATATTTGATTGAGTGCTTTTAGATAAACAAACTCTGATGGTGCTGAACGGTGCCTTCATGACATCTGTGGTTAAAGCAGCTCAAGAGAGCAAATGTGACTAAGAGTCATATGTAAAAGAGAAATGAAACAAAAGTGAATATGTTACTTTGAGAGGAAGCTGAATTGACAAAGATGATCTGATCTGTTTTTTTTATATATTTACCGACTTTACTGTCTAAACTGAAAACACCATGAAAGGGTTATCATGGTGAAGCAGAACACATCTTACTTGATGACAGCCAGACTGATGCCACTCAGTCTCTGCTTGAGCTCCTGGATGCTGATGCCCTGTGCGTCCGGACAGCTCTTTATCAAACACAACACCTTGAGAGACAAAAAATGTTGAAGTAGTAAAAAAAACAAAAACAGACTGCGTCAAACAAAAAGGGCATCATTCAACACAGTTACTTTTTTTCTTTTCTGAAAGCGTTTCTTCTTTTTCTTAGCCAGTTATTTTCTAGTAATTCACCTCAGTATGGGAAAGAGGAAGTTAGACACAGTACGCAACATGAAGTGCCGGTTCATTTGTTCTGTGTCAATTCTCACGATCCAGGGACGTGACTTGTTAAAAAAGAAACGCATCATTTTATAATTATGATCAAGGCTTTTTTCTTGTTTAGTGTTCATCAAGCACATTTTCACACGATGATTAATTTAAGTATAATTCAAGTCGTGTGAGTTCACTTTTCAGGGCGCTAAGTCAGGAATTCAGGAAGACACACACCCCTGATATTTAAACAGTTCAAATAGTCTTGTTCTTATTTAACATCATGTCCATTCATTTCTTGAACTTAGCTTTGTTATGTCTGTTGTAAACTTTCACATGAATTTGGGTACATAAATCATTGGAGTTTACCTCTCCAAAAGTATTGCTTTCTTTAGTGTACACATTTTATACTTTAACTATAGACCCACCTGATTCTGATTACCGCTTAGCCCGTTGTTCATCTCCATAGCACCCACATAGCTACCTCCCATGCTTCCTGTGTCAGGTCGTGACATGGGTGTGACATTGCTGTTCATTCCTCCTGCTGCGGGCTGAAAGGTAAACCAAATGCTGTTGAAATGTTTTCGGTTACATCATTATTTAGAAATGTGACAAACGTCAATTAGACTACAATGCGTCAACTGAATGGAAAAAGACTGCTTCACGTCAGGTTTCAAAGAAGCTGACACAACAGATTTGAACTTGAATGTGATAACCTTCAGCTTCACGTCAGTTTATCAACATTGTCAGAATGATGCCATGTTTCCACCGCTACTTATTTGGTCAGTACTTCAAAAAAGGACCCTTACAAAGGTAGTATTAAAAAAAAAGAGCTGGTGTGTGACCTGACCTCACATTCTGCATTTAAAACAAGTGATTAATGCTGCTAAACATTTCTCACCATGGTTTGGGATTTGTTGAGCGCCATGTGAGCTTGCACCACCTCTAGCATGTGTGAGGTGATTTCATTCATATCCTCCAGGGGCCTGACACCAAACGCCACAACAGATCTGTGGTTCTGTTGAGACAGGAAGTCAGAGACACTTACTCACACCCTCAGAAAGTCTGAAGAAACTGAATTCACACAGAATTTTAAACAAAGAAGTACCACATGACTTCTCTGCACATCCTCCCAAGACGGAAACGTTAATGTATAAACAACATTTAAAAAACAAAAAAAAACAAATGGCATGTTTGTCAGCAGGACTTGTCTTCTTGTAAAACTTGTAAATATAATATTAAGAAAAGCTATAATTTAGGGGGGGAAAACAACTTGCAAAACATAAAACATTCATGTAGAAAGTTGAAATCTGAAAGCAAATCAAAATGGAAATGGTTAAACAACCTCACAGGGGAGCGTAAAGTTAAGTTCTTTGTCGTTCCTGGGTACTTAGAAGAGGAGTCAAGGTCAGAAAACTCACCTGAAAGGAGCGCAGATTGCCGGAGACTTTGACATATGTGCCTGGGGGCAGGACAGTGCTGTCCACACTGGGGTCCTATACAAACCAGAAGACTTCATTTGTAAAATTGAAAGAGAAACACAACATATGCTACAATTTTAAAGAAAGGCATAACAAAGCGCCATTTGGCTTTTTTTTTAAGTGTAGATCAAGCACATTCTCATGACGAATTATCAACATTACACAGTGGGCTTGGGCTTGATCTTACAGTCTTATTGATAGTAGTAAACTTGCTGTCTTTGTGTAGATTTATTTATTATCAGCATTTACCATTAATATGAAGCACGCAAACCTCATTCCGTTAATACTGAAGCTAAAAACTGAGAAGTGAAATTCATTGCTCGACCAAAGTGGAGAGAAGGAGTTATTCTTGACACTGTCAATCATCACATCATCTGAAAATGAACCCCCTAACCTACAGCGCAGCCTTATAAGTATTCATTTAGTCAGTCACAGGTTTATATTTTTAGAAGACTAATGAGCCATCCATCTTGCTTGCTTGCTTGACTGTGCTTCATAATTAAAAAAAAAAAAAAAAAAAAAAACAACAACCCTGAAACTTATGTTTAGATTATGTGCACGGGTAAAAGCCCCCCCTCACTGACCTCTGTGTCCACCCACTGCTTCACATCCATGGGAGCACCGGTCATGTCATCCACCTTGTACTGGATGTTGGTCATGGATTTGTCTGTGCTCCGGATAACACCCACAATGGTCACCTTTGAATGAAAAAAATGTAAACGTTAATGGTGAAATCAACAAATTCTTATGACAACGACTTATATGCAATGTATCACGTTTTGTGTAAATGCACATCTCCTTCAATTAGGCCTAATGTGGAGCCGCAACATTATTCTGCACGAAATATGCAAAAATGCACGAGAGTGGTGGGGATGTAAAGATTAACTGCGAGGCAGGCACAGCATCCCCGAGACAGGAAGTGAAAGCGGTGAAAAGATAACAGACAAGACAAAGAAGATGGGGTACTACACAAATAGCACACCGAGCATGATGCAGCATTAAACCTGACACGACAATGAGAATCTCCAGTCATTTCATTTGTTGCTAGAAATATAGTATGAAGGCCATTAAAAGGCCAAACAACACTGACAAGCGGGTTTACAGCCCTGCTCGCCCTAAATGAGTGCAAGAGCCAAAGAGATGACGAGGTGCATCGCCGATTTCATGACAGAATTAAAGGAATCGTTTTCAGTAATCTCATCATTTGTCTTTAGTGTCAGTTTGTAAAATAAATCTTGAAGGAATCGTATCGTGAACCCAGTACTGTGAATTGTATCGTATGGTGAGTTGAGTGAATCGTTACATTCCTACTCGCTTGTAAAGTCCGATTCAGTAAAACAGCAGTGGATGATTCTTATTCTCAACACAACACCATCGTGAATATTTTCCCAGCGCTCTCGATTGTGTATCAAAATGTCCTACCGCCAAACACTCATATTTGACTTTTGCAATGTTTGGCCTTTAAGGTTTTGGAGGTCACGTCATGATCTGCAGCAGTCCCTGCTTTTCTACAGATTACCTGGGCAACCTCCACATCTCCTACTCGGAAAGCCTCGTCAGCCTGAGCAGCAGACATCAGCTGTGATACTGTGCAGGGGATAATCTGGTTGGCACGAGTTCTCTGCAAAATAAACACACACACAAACACACAAAAGGTTGAGGACTCAAAGGATATGTGCAAAATTAGGTAAATGGGTGTGAGGGCTAAGCAAAAAAACAGATTGACACTTAATCTACTCAAATGTGAATATACTAGAAGGTATGATACTGTTAACTGATTAATAATAAGCACAATGTTATTGCTCACTGTGTTTTAACTTTCTTGTTTATTATGAAGCTCTTGTGTGTTAGACTTCATTACAAACCCCTTTCTTGTCTCCTCCCTGGGATAGGGACGGTGACGCAAAGCCTCCAGGAGACTGTGTGTACCCTCCGACCGTACTCGTTGCGGTGTACCCTCCTGAAAGAGCAAAAGGGTATTTAACAGACGACCAAACCTTTCGTCGACATCCCATTTAAGACTCATTGTTACTCCTAGCAGTAACAGAGCTACTCAAACTCTGCAGCCAAGCTAATGTTAGCCGCTTGCATAACCAAGTTTAGAACAAAACAGTGAGGGCACTAGACTCACCCTGATTCCACATCATGGCAGCTCGTAAATAATTTAGTTAAATAAAATCTAAAACGTTTTATGACAGTGAAGCAGGGATAACAGCCGCACGTTGTTTCTGTTGACGTCTTTCTTGGATAGTCCCGCGCGCCAAACTCAATATACAACGCATGCGCGTGGTAGAAGTCCCGCGAAGTCTACGCGGATTTGGGGATCGACTTTCAGCCCTACTTTATGCTTGTCAGGCAGTGGTTTCTCTCATGATGAATTGAAATAGCGCCTTTATCGCAAACATCCGTACACAAATTTTTGAGTGATGCCCCAAATAGACAATAAGCGTCTTTATAGCCCACATTTGGTTTACATGTAGTGCTCTGGTTGGTTCTAGTCTCCCACCATTTGGAAAAGGACAACCTGACAGACATTCCTCGGGGCACACATAACAACGAAGTGCTGCGTTGTGGTTCTCACCTATGGTTCTTCTCACTCATTTAACGCTCTCAACCTGTTGACAGTCTGTGGTGTGCTCACTTAATCTACTATCGTTATCTTGTCAAATTCTGAGTGAACATGTACGACAGCAAGGAAAAACACACCCGGGTTCTAAATAATTAGGTTAAACATTTCAATAAACGTATCCGTTTATGAACACCAAGTTGCAAAAACGTTCAGTCATCTTTACAAAGATAACGACAGGCATTATTTTATAGGTTTAAAATATTTTAATCTAACACATCTATGCTATTCAACGGTAAACGTCTTACTTAAAATATTTCGTTGTAATTTAACAGCAGTTAAAAAGAAACCCCCTCGCTACAGTCTATTCCAAGAACAACCTTTGCGTTTCGGAATTACAAGCATCACCCAAAGGCAACACGTCTCAAGTTTATCAAATGCCACAACCCGCTGGCATTTTCTTTAGGCTTATTCAGATAAATAAAACATTTAAAGTTAAAAAAAATACAAATAGAAACATGTGAAGTCAATCGAAACATGCATTAGGCAAATTTAAGAGGGCGACTGTTACAGTAGCCTGGGATTTTATCTTTAGCCCATGCACATAAAAATAGAAGTATTACTGCACTGTAGTTCCCGGATTAGTTTATGTGTGAGGCCTTTTATGGTATTTGGTAAATCTATTAGAGTTGCAACTTCTTCATTTAATACAGAAAACTTTAACTTGTAACCTGTGTAGCCAATGCCAAACAGGGAATACGGACCGCCTTTAGGCCAAAGACGCGTCATGAAGTGCTGTGTCTTATCTTGCTTTGCCCTTTACAGACTTACCTCTCAAACCTGGACGTGACTTTTGCCTGTTGTTTGCTTTCTTCAAAGACTTTGACATGTCCATAGTAAGGCTGCTCCTGTCTTGTCTGTTGTTTAAAGATACTCTTGCGCTATCAGGTAAATGCCAAAAATAACTTCATTTAAAAAAGAAGAAGGGGGAAAAAAACAACATCTCTTATAGTGCAGAGGCAACTTCATGAGCGCAATTACGCATCGTTTTTTTTTTTTTTATCCAGGAACCTTCTGGCACATCACGGATCAGCACTTGGACCCAACATACAAGCTGACAGATAATCCTGAACTTGTGTGCGCATCAAGTGGTAAACGTCCTGCAACCAATGCTGGGGCATTTGGAGACTTTGTTTGTGACTCACCATGGCACCTTATCAACTCGTCTGTGTATGCCATGAAGGATATTCTTCCAGACCCTGACTTCATCGTATGGACAGGGTGGGTTGGCGCATAAGATTAATTGATTGAATTAAGAGATCCAGATCTAACTGCCCCAAGTTTATTTGTTTTGTACAAGGCACCATGCTTTGTAGTACTCATTTTTGTATTTTTTTTTTTGTCAGAGATGATACACCACATGTACCCAATGAGGACCTGGGAAAAGAAGCAGTGCTCGAAATTATCAGCAACCTTACCCACATCCTAAACCAGGTGTTTCCAAGTAAGAGGTCCAGATACATTAATGCTTGAGGGAAAAGGACATCAGAAATGAGCTGATTAACTAATATAAAAGATACAATCTTTGAATAACTGCATTCCTTAGGTACTAAAGTGTATTCCGCACTGGGTAACCATGACTACCACCCAAAGAGCCAATTTCCCGTAGGCCCAAACCAAATGTATGACCGAATAGCAGAAATGTGGAAGGACTGGCTGCATCCAGAGTCCCAAAATACATTTAAAAAAGGTCAGCAGAGACTCCTTTGGTACTCCAAAATTTCTTCTTTTGATTTTTATCAAGTCAACAGACCCCACTACTTCTTTCATGCCTTTACTTGTTTATTTTTTTGCTTTCCAAAGGTGGATATTATACCGAAAAGCTTCTGCAACGAACAGGATTTAGGATGCTGGTCCTCAACACTAATCTCTACTATGACCAGAACAAAGTGACTGAGAACATGGAAGACCCAGCGGACCAGTTTAGCTGGGCGGACCAAGTTCTTACAGAAGCTGCCACCAACAAAGAAAAGGCAAAGCATCTTGTCTGTCCATCTCTGAATTACTGCAAGATGGGCAGTGAATCTTTTTGTGTGTAATGACTAACTATTCCTCTTTTGACTGGTTACCAGGGTAAACAGGAAGAACACTTTCAATTTACATCCCCTTTAATAGCAATAATGTCATGGAAACAATTGTAACTTTCATAACCAGACACTCCCTAAATCTGCATCCAGCTTTGCTACAAGATCAATTGCAATACTGTTGGCTAAATTATCAACCGTTTGTCTGCACAGGTGTACATCATTGGCCACGTTCCCCCCGGTTTCTTTGAGAAGAAGAGAAGTAAGCCCTGGTTCACACCTAAATTCAACAAACAGTACTTGGATTTAATTCAGAAACATCATTCGGTTATACTTGGACAGTTCTTCGGCCATCATCACACTGATAGCTTCAGGATGTTCTACGACTCAGCGGGTACGCTCAGACTTTAATTTCTACATCTTCTACAAATGTCTGAGGTTGGCTTTTCAGTCTCGTGTCTGTGATGCACAAAAACTCTTGAATTAGGAGTCCGGATTACATTTTGGTTCATGAAATGTTGGTAATAAGAGGAAATGGCCTTCTTGTCTCTGTAGGCTCTCCTGTCAGTACCATGTTCCTCAGCCCCGGCGTCACGCCCTGGAAGACAACACTTCCTGGAGTGGTGGATGGAGCCAATAACCCTGGGATTCGTGTCTTTGAATATGACACCCAAACACTCCTGGTCAAAGTAAGTCAAAAATAGTCTTTGTAACTTCTTTTCAGAATCTTTAGAAACCCTTTTTATGCTGCTCAACAAACATGCCTAACCATTTTATTGTTTTGGTTTCCGTTTTGTACAAAAAAACACTCAGGATGTGGTGACCTACTACCTGAACCTGACTTATGCTAATGCTGCCGGGGGACGCTGGGAGAAGGAGTATCGCTTTACAGAGAGCTTCAGAGTGCCAGACGCTTCACCGTCCTCCATGCATAAGGCTCTGGAGCGCATCGCTAACGACCGCTGCTATCTACAGAAGTACTATGACTTTAACTCTGTCAGCTATGACCTGACAGAGTGTGACAGCGACTGCCGCGTTGACCACGTGTGTGCAGCCCGAGAGGTAGACTTTGAAAGCTATGAAGGCTGTGTGGTAAAAGAAGGGGCAGCTGCCATTTATGGGGGGTTACTGTCGGTCCTCTCAGTGGCTGTAAGTCTGCTATTAGCAAATCACTGATGATTTTCTTTTTTCTTTTGAAGGTTATTATTGAAGCATCATGGAGACTATGGGAAGATACACTTAAATTCATAATAAAGAACATTAAAAGAGCATTTTTAATTGTAATGTTTAAATCACGACATATATGGTGAAGTGAGTCATGTACTTGAGTTAGGAGGAAGCAACCTTTGCCTCCAGAAATCTGTAGTGTGGCCTCTTCCCCTTGGTTTACGGGAAGTGATTGAATATTAGCTCAAGACGCTAAAGTACATTCAAAAGTGATATTCTGCTTTAAATCTGGACTTTTTTTTGTTCCCCTAACCAGAGTTTAGTATAAACAGTTATTTATTGCCTTATTAGCATAATCACAACAGTCAATCTGTTGATACATATCCTCAACACCGACTCATGTTCATGTAACTTAGAAACAATTCAACCTGTCACTAAATATCTCAGACAAAGCTGAATTATCTGGGTTCTGTAACGCTTTCTGTTATCTTGTAAAACTATATGAAAATGTAATGAGCTTCAACTGTCAGTAAATAAAATCATGCTTACTGGACTTTGAGCCTGCTTCAGGTCACATTTATTGAACATGTGCTTTAGCAGTGTATTAGATAAAGAGGCAGTCGGTTACTTCACATGATCAGGACCTGTTTAGCTGAAGTGAAAGGCTGCATGGCTGTGTTCAGAGCGCTGCTGTAGTCTTGCAGGTTCACCTCGGTGCAGGCGGGCGCTGTCAGCTTTCCATGCTGTATGAGGCTGCACAGTTCATCCAGCATGGCTCTAAATGCACTTCCATCTACGAAGGAAAAATCATTCAATTAATTGAATAGACGTTTCTTGTGAACTTGAGCTGTTAGAGAGGACGCTTCGTACAGTCTCACCTTTTGAGTGGTCTCTCTTCCACTGTGTGACCCAAAATCCTCGAACCTTCACATCCTTGAATATAAGGGCACTCTGGGGGGAAAAAAAAGATGTTCAGTGTACTGTGGAATCTGAAAACAAGCTTCTATGTGACATAATAAATCTGGGAGGATGTATGAGGTTTTCATTTTACCACAGGGACAGTAACTGGCTGTCTGGCCATCCCGCCATACGTCACCATAGATCCTCCTAATCTTGAATACATAGAAAAATCAGATATCGTTATCAGACTTCTCTTAAGTATAAATGTTATATCTTGTAAACAGGAACAACTCAGCAGCCTCACTTGAGATGACGGAGCAGTTCTGTTGCACTTTTGCCTCCGACTCCATTTAGAGCCAGTTTCGGCTTTGGGCAGATCTATTTGAAAGACAAACACAACACAATGACACTGGGACTGTGTCTAATAACCAATAGCCATAGTGGCATGACTGTATCTTTTAACTTGTCTTCAAGAACCACAGACCTTGAACAGTTCCTTAATCTCAGGCCGCCTAAGTGCTTCTTCTTTGATCACATGAGTTGCACCCATGGCCTTCAGCCTATCACTGAGCTGGGTGAACTCTGGCCTTTTTAAAAGGAGAGACACAATGAGGAAGTTGATTGCAGCTATGATTTCTTGCACATAAAGAAACTCAAAATGACATGAAGTGCGTCTTACAGAAACACTGAAAACCAGAGCTAATGGAAAACACGCAACCGGTAATATATTTTGTCAGAAAAGAAAAGTGGAATGTAACCAGTGATTCAACCACAATTTGTAGAAAAAAAAAAAAAAAAAAAAAAAAAAGGTGAGTCATTAAAGGGTTAATCTAAAATGACTGGGTTCACCTGTCTCTGATAACGTTGATAGTGTTTATTCCCCTTGCAGCAGCGATCTGTATAACAGCCTGTCCGACTCCACTGTTGGCTGCATTCTGGATCACAGAGTCACCTGAAAGGACAGCCAGATGAGGGAAAATGTAACATGATGGGAAAGACGGCATGTTTTTGGAGATTTTCCATCAGTATACTCAGATATGTCGTCCCAGCATGGGTCTACGAGTTTGAAAGGAACAATTAATGAAATGTATAATATGGAGAGAATAGCACATAGGATAAGGAATTTAGGTGACGTCTTTTAGTCACAATGGAAGACACAGATTTAATAAAGGGGAAAATGTAGATCAACAAAGAGCGAAGATGTGCGTGTACTTGAGCTGAACTGAAGCCAGAAGCAGATGGTTGAGACCACAAAGACAAAAATAAATACATAAACGCTATTAGAGTAGAACAAACCAAGGCTCACTATTTATTCATTTATTTTTACTTTATTACATTTTTGTTAAGTCAGTCTGCTCCGTTGCTTTTCTTTCTATTTTCTCGCTTTTCTTTCCATGTCTGTGTAGAAAATGCACTTATGTTTAAATATATCTTCTATACAAACCATGTCCACGAGTTTGCTTGATATTAAGTGAATACTATAAGTGCAACACACCGGCCAATAAAACTTATCAAGGCAGAGCATTTGAATTCATTCACTATAATAAGGACAACTTTGTTTTTAAATGGTCTATTGAAGCAAAATCGATAAAAATAAATATTCCTATTCTTTCAAAATATGTGTTTTAATGCTATTCATAAGTGGTTCCACCATCAGGGGGCTTAATGGTTGAATCAATCTGGTTGCTAAAGAAACAAATAAACAAACATCAGCAAAATAAATCAACTTCCTGTATAGGTAATCTATAGCTTTGTCGTCTTCGTAAGAACAATAATAACATGACCCCGTGTGTGGCAATAATTACCTGGCCTAAGATCTTCAAAGTCCGACAGCATCCTGAAGGCAGTGCAGGGATTCACTCCCAGTGTAGCAGCACTCAACAAGGGAACGTTACTGGGCAGCGAGATGACGTCGTCCTCGGCTAATACTGCCTCTGTCCTCCACATTCCTGCTCACACAAAGGTAATGAACATTGAAATTAAAATGTTGGAGGCACTTGTTACAAGTATTGTATTTAAAGCTTTATTTTACCTAGACCAGCATCTCTTGGGATAACCCAGTCTCCGGCTTTCAGGGACTTTACCTGGCTGCCCACCTCTGAAACCTGTGCCACTCCCTCGTTACCCCCAATAGCTGGGAGGTCTGGCAGGATGGCATAAGTACCTTAAAAAAAAAAACACCATCAGATAACTTATAGATCTTCATACATTTAAAAAAAAATAAATAGCACAAGCACCTTAAAAACACACTCAGACAGGTAGCAGATCTTAGCACAGCAAAAACAAATATTGCGTTGCACTGTTTTTATTTTTGTTGTTCCTGTCAGAAGGGCTGTTTTAAAATGAGCAACGAACCTTGGATCATGTTGATGTCAGATGGGTTGATTGGAGCAGCCAGAATTTTAACCAGGACATCATTTGAACCTAAGGGGGGAAGATCTATGTCCTCCAACCTAGAAACCCCAAACACACCTGTTTAAACAACCTGCTCATTGAATCAAGAATTAAACAACAAAAATATGTTTCGACTTCTAGCCTTAAGTTGAAACTCATTTGTCTAATTAAGTTAATGTTCATATTATAAGTGTTGCTGGAGCTTTTGACCTCTACAGTAAATATAGGCTCTTGCCACAGGGTCAAGTCTCAGTTAGTGTTTTCCGTCCTCCGACTTCAGGGGGCAGCACTGAGCTCTGTACTAATGTGCAGGCCTACAACAAAATAAGGCGAAAAAGAAGCAACACTTCGAAAATGTATCAAAAGACACACGAAGGTGAGCTAATAAATACATCTTCACAACTCTACATTCAAACCTTCCAACTTGTTAACCCTCAAAGCCCCGTCAAAGAGCTTCTGACAGCAGCTTCCCTAAGCGCTGCTCACCTCACCTGACAATGTGGACGAATAAAACACATGTTTCATAATTGTACAAGACAGGAACTCTTACTGAACAACTTGAGAAGGATCTCCGTGTTTCCTGTAAAGAAGAGCCTTGCATGTTTGTGTCGCAAGTCCAGCTGACTGAGTGTAGAGACAGACGGAAGCATTAGCCCTGTGCCTTGAACATTTATTACGGACAACGACGAAACTTCTTCTGCAGAATGTCTTGCTCCTCCAGCAGACTGCTTGAAGTGGCAGCCACATCACGACTCGGGAATTATCGTCAAAGGACAACACAACTGGCTGGTAATGGTTTTCATTTGAAATGTGGGTTTGCTTGCATAGCTCTTACTGTGCGGCCATGTTTGGATTTCAAGCATGGGGGTTGTCTCATTGAAAATATAAACAGAGAACAGCGCCCCAAGTGGACAAACCCGGATGTTCGCTCCCTCTAACCTTGTATGGTACAGTATTGCCCAATAATCTCCTGCCAGGGAATGAAACAGGAACAAGATAGCTTTCTTGTGTGTGCAGGATTGTTATGTCCATTTCTTAAATATTGCTTATTTTGTAAAATGTCCCAATGAGATTTGATCACCAATCAAAATATCACCTTCATTAATTACATCTTTATGTCCTGTTTTTTTTTTTTTTTTTCATTTTTGGTGACAACGGCCTTCAGTAGCCTACTTAAACATTCAGGCTGTCTGAGTGTTTGGCAATATATTATATATAAACTTAAATTATATTTATTCAAAAACCTGGTAACAAAACGGCATACTATGACTAGAAGAAAACAGTTATGTGAAGAAGGATGTAAGTAACTATATATTAAAGAAAAAGGTACAGTAAGTAACTCTACATTAACTTTGTTTGATATAAAATGCTGGGTTCCACTCCACTTTCTTTAAAGGCCTCCAAAATAAATTGCTTTCAATGCATAATGAAAGTTCATTATGTTCACTTTATTATTTCATAGATTCATTTAAATTATTTGCCAAGTTTTACAAAGATCTTTTTTTAGCTTCCTTTTATCCACATAACCAGTCATTTTACTAATATTACAAGAGGTATACACCTTGATATTAAGTAAGCATATACCAGTTATTATTGAATGCAGAATATTTAGTTATAATGTTAGTATTTTGTATCTGTTGTAAGGGAAAAAAAGGCAAAGGAGACACAGGGATATTGAAATATTTACTAGGAAATGGAGCAGATCTTTACATATAGAAACATAATCACAGTAACACTTTGAAAAGCCTACATGCTGCTCATCATTGATAATCTAGCCATTAAAATCAAGATAAGATAGATCAAGATAGTTGTAGTTTTATGGCAGTAAACAATCGAGACATTCATCAGTAATAAATGCATTCTTTCGGAAGTTGATCAAGCCATTTATCCTTAAACATTCAGCACCACGAATAAACTGGCTGATGGTCACAAACGAGATGTATCATATAAATCACACATTCAGTTACCTGTGATACAGAATTCTTTTATGTGCTTCACATGTTACCCTGAGTAAGCTTAAGTCTTACATGGCCTTGAATATTCAAGGAATATCTAACCCATCTAAAACCCGACAATCATATCACAATAATGCATCACTCAGGGGTTAAACTGGGTGGTTGTAATAAAAATGTCTTATTGGACTTGAGTTTCCAAATAATACTTTGAAAACATCGTTAGTAACAGCAGAATGTTGCAAACATGACCTATCTACCTTTATCTAAGTAGTGGGTGTCCAGTAAAGAATTTGGTCAATTAAATTGTTTATGATTTTAGGTCATGTTAAAGAGTAAGTCAGAAAGATCCTTTTGTTGAGAAAGGAAAAAATTTAAGACAGGGATACACTTGCAATCAATAGATTAAGAATGAAAATAGATAGACATGTTTTTCATTTTATGTTACCAGAGCACTTACTTTAACATTCGTTTCAGCATTACATGTCCTGAGTTTAATAGTAGAAACAGTGTTCGCTTCAGCAACATTCAAACTTGAAACATGAACACAAACACCACCTAAAAGTGAAGTATAAATCCAAAAACATTTGAATGTGAAATCATCCATGACACATTCTTTTTGTCAAAAAGCATTGATAGTCTGAAACACTAATTGGCCATGTCTTGAGATGAGACAACCCCAGATTATATGCTACTAGCCCCAATCCCCTTAATAACATTCTACTACATCCCCATCTACAACGATTAAAGAGGAAAAAATACATTTATAGCGGAACATTTTCTTCATATCATATATCATGGCAAGTCATGTAAAGGAGACCAACATATCAAGGTCATCACCACGCCGTGTGCATTGAAAGTTGACAAAGTCAAAAAGCACATGAATCTCAATTTAACTGTTTACAATCATTTATCTTTTTTTTTTTTTTCTTTTGGCAAAAATCTATGCTTCACATGGTTCAGATGTGCATTCAGTCCCTGCTTCGTCTTGAGTAAACACTCCTCAACTCCTTATCAATCTGAAGTATTCCCTGAGCTTTCAGATTGGCAATTCCTGAGATGAGCCTTAGAGTGGAGAAATATTTTTCCTACCAGCAACCAACTGTTTGTGACAAATGAAAATATATAAAAAAATAATCTACGATATGGAACATATATTCAGAAGAAATAAATCTAAAAAAAAAAAAAAAAAAAAGTAATGCATCTTACACATGATTAGTGCAGAGTAACATTGCATTGGGTTTGGCATAGATAGAAAAAAACAATGTGAATCCCTTCTGAGACCCCATGCAAACAAAAAGAAAAAAAAAAACATAAAAGTAAAAAAAAAACAACCTAACAGTTTACATCAGTCCTCGTAATACTATGCACTTGCAAAGTGTGTATTGTTCGTAACATGGGTTATGTGAGTTCACTCTATTTAAACTGCATTGAATTACCATCGAGGACCATGAAAATGATTTATCAAGCACATATGTACAAAGAAATACGGAGAAGTACCTTGATGTTAAAATAGGTTCACCCAAATATATTCATAGTCTCAAGTCATATGGAGCTTTGAATCACATTTGTCAGTTATTTGATGTCTAGAAGAACATTCATTGCCGAGAGGCTTCAACGTGAGCAGGAGGACAAGCTGCAACACTCTTGGATGAAAATAAATAAGAAGTATTATTCTTTTAAAAAAGGCTTTAGAATAATAATATATATATATTAATTGGGTGTCAAAGTTTGTCAGCTTCTCCTGTAAAACGGGAGTAAAATGCTGATTAGCTAGCTAGTTCTACATGCTCCTCCGGGCAGGCTAGGTGTTCCTGATCTATAACTCTACTAAGAGTCATAGGGAGGTAATGTCTTAAATAACTACCTAGTTATGGGTCAAACTGGATACAAACAAAAACACCGGCCTTCTCGCTGGTAACTTCATAACTGATTCTGCCTCATTTTATTCAAGTATCAAGAGGAGAGCTAGCTGGACCCTCAGAGACTCAGTCCAGGTCAAGTATCTTATTTGAAGTGATGAGGTATGTGTGTTGTGTTTTCTATCACATTGTTAGGAATTCATTAAAAACAAAATTGAGTTAATTGTAAAGCAGCAGCATTTCACACAATAGCCAATAAAGAAAGGGAAAACTGTTAGAGTGTTAAAAGCTAAGTTAGTTTATCATGCTGCCTTCTCTGGTTAAGACTTAGCCTGGAAGCCCCAGACGTGTTCTTTATATTAAAATAGTCTGCAACCTTTCAGTTCATTTTTGATGTCATTCAGAGCAACAACACAATTTTCATAGGTCTGTTGGACTTGGTAACTGTTTCCAATGTCAAATTCGCCATCACTTTTCATTTGCCCAGTTTGCCTTATATTGATCCACAAATCTAGAACATTCCACTTAAGGAGCAGCCATCTTGGCTGCGAAACATTTCTCTTTGAAGCTAAACAATTGGTGATTGACCTGACCCTAAATCTGGTAAGAATATGTCTGATAGATAATGGGCCAAACACATCTGCAACAGCACAAGCACAAGCTAGATCATGTTAGTAGATGTGAGTTATACAATCTTGCTTTACCTGGTTAAAATGGTACCTACAGCATATATTCTGACATACTGAGTATGTGATGTAGTGTGGTCCAATTATACCACAGTACATTACATACTTGAGTTTTGCAGAAGGTACCAGATCACATCCATACTTGATGTCATAATAGGTTCAAGAGATTCTAACCTCTGACCACACCAATGTTTTAGTGGCAAGGCTATGTTAAAACTGTAATGCAAAAAGAATGTGATTTTACCTCAAATTAAATCCCGATCTCTAAAACTGTAATTTGAGAGTATCTGGTTTACCATCATCAGTAGAAATGGAGGTTTAAGTAGTAGAGTAAAGATGCACCAATAAGGTAGACTGCACTTTTAGACAGCCAGCAAGATGCTGGATAAAAGTATTGTTTCAAAGAAAAATAACTGACCAAAAGCTAAAACCAATTCTGGTCTGACATTCACTTGGCCCGAGGATTACTGGATGGTCAATTGCCATGTGGGCAGATGACAATAGCCTGCATTTATACCCTAAAACACATCCCATTTGTTTTTGCAAGCCCTCCCATTCCACATACAATAGACACCATAACATTCATTTAAGAGGTATTAACTGTTACACTCTGCCTTAACAGAAGGTGAGGTGTAACAGTGTGATATAAGACTATATGGTAAGGCAGCAAAAGTTTAGCTCTATACTTTGCAAACTGACCAAGTATTCTGCAAAAACAGAAGAGGTATAATGCCCATAGGAGAGACAAAGTGGCTCGTAAAAAGACAAATCAGGTTCTAGAAAAACTAATCAACATAATCCGTTGTATGGCATTGCTAACTACAATCTTAATCCCCTCAAAAACACAGCAGTGATTCGAACATTTAGAAAGCGTCCTGAGTGCAATAATACAGCAGTATTCCTGAGTGTAACACCAAATGAAAACAATAAAAAAAAACTTCAGCAACATTCTTCATCAGCATTTTTTTTTTAACCTGAGGTAGTTCCAAAAGCAGCCTCGACAGATGAACTGGGGTCTTGTGTCCCATCTCTACCATCAAAGTAGTTTGATTAGCCTCTGTGCTTCCCCGGTTTTGATGATGCCCGACTTCTCATTTAATCAGAGGTCTCAGGAGCCGTTACCATGTGGGTTTGCTCCTCCTCATCTTCTTTTGAGGGTGATGGTTTTCCCTGAGAACCTGGTGAGGACTGTTGTGCTTTTAATGGACAGTTGGCAACCATGTGGTCAATGCTCTGGCAGAAATGGCACTTTTTGGGCTGTGGTGGTAACTTGCACTCTTTGGCATGGTGGTCCAGGCCTCCACAGTTGTAGCACCTAAAAGAGAAGATTTAATCAGATCAATGTGAAATATGTTCATACTGTGGCAAAATCACAACCTCTAAACTAGCAATGATGAATTAAAAAAACGATGCAGTAGGAGGCCTGAAAGCTAGAACAATGATCTGAATGTTGCTAAAAAAAGGTCCATTTTAGCTTGAAGGTCCCCTTCAGAAATGTTTGAGGACAAATAAAAACTGTTCTGATTTAAATTATTATGACTTCTTAAAAAAGCAAGAACCTATGAATGCCTTACACTACGGCCAAGACATGCTTTCTCACTGAAAAGTCCATTGTACAACATATTGTATGTCCCTCCGGTTAAATGGAAACTCTCTCTCTCTCTCCCTGCAACTGATGATTGTCAGTGCAATGTTTATCATTGTCTGTCATTCTGCATTGTGAGAGTAAGAAAGCCAAAGGAAGTAAAAATATCTAAAGCTTTTACTAAGTGTAGGGGGAGATATTGGTTGCACCTGGTTGCCACTTGATGGCAACAATTTCCCAGGATTAACCTGAGTTACCTATGGCCATCAATCTTACTAGGGCATTCCAGGTCACACCACATTGCTCTTTGGTGGGTCACAGATTGGAACATCTAAACAGGTCACAAAGTGTTTTTAGATGTTTAAAACTTACACCCAAAACGCATGCAATCTCCTTTAAAGCAACAATGGTTTCTGGACAATCTAATATTCAATTTGGGGAACAAATTGCAAGAAGTACCAGGGACTTGTATCTATTGACTTTTTATGGTCACAATGGCTGGTATTTTATTAAGTATCTTGAACAGCTTGTGTTATTTGTCAGATTGTCACTGCCAAAAGCTTCCAGTTGGACTTGTTGGGCTCTATTGTATCAGAGTAAGACATTTGTTTCATTGGCAGTGAACTTTAGAAATGAACACCATGCAAGGGGTCAAGCGAGAGCCATTGGGGGTGCCTTCATCCACAACTGTTCGGAGACAATCTATAAAATGGCCACGCGTGTAGGGGCGGAAGACAGATGGGTGTAGGCGTGCGGTGCTCGGCCTGTGCCACAGCAAGACCCCCTGCCACCACTGAAGCAGCAGATGAGGTTTGGTCAGAACGGCTGCCTAGAGGTCAGTGTGGCTTTGTAGCTGTGGCTGTTGGGGTGGTGTCAAGGTCTATACTGCCACATCACAACACCTCCCTTCATCAGGAGGCAAAAGGAGGGAAGGGGAAGTGGTCCCTTTGTCTCAAAAAGCTGCAGTAATGACCTCTGAACCCTGCCCCCTTGACCCACCCCACCCTTTCCCTCCGACCCCAATCCCATCCCAGCCCTCTTGCATTTACTCATACGCTGTTGCCATGACAACAGCGACCTTTCACCCCCTTGCCAGAGCTCTTACATCTGTTATCAATTAAATGGACAGGAGCTTTTCCCCTTACCTTCGATCATATCAACACACACTTACTTTACAAAGGTGGTCTAAAAAAAAAAAAAGAGGTAGACTTAAAAAGCAGCTGCTGGCAGTATTAACCCACAAGTAATAGGTGGAATGACAATGTAACTCCTGTCCCAGTTATATCTGACTATCGGTTACAAATATCATCAATCAGTCATATCAACCAATGAAACACCAACCAGAGCTGCATAATGAAATACGCTAGAGGGAAACGATACCTTATCAATGGATCAGTGTGATCTTCTGAGACTTATTGAGCCACAGCGGGCCTCCCAGGACTCTTTGAGGCAGTAATGATCTGTTTTCTCACACTGGCTACTCTCTGGCTCTAATCACAACTGACAGGAGGGTGAAGTTGATACACTTTTAACCCCTTGCTATATTCAAAGAGTAACGTCTAAATAGAGGCCCCCCTTTACTCTTCTGTCTTTCCCTTGGAGGGACATTCTTTCCTTTGCATGAAACCCTTGAATATGCAAAAAAAAACTGTTCAATTAATAAAACCATATATGAAGATAGGTCTATACGTTTTTTTGTTCTTAGTCTTTTTTCGCGGAGCCTAAACTCATACTACTCGTGTTTTTATGAACCGATACAAAGAGAAAATATGGAAACCACTTCAGCAGTAACAAGGAATTGTGTGCTTAAGACACAGCATCTTAAGTATAATTCCCTATTTTTTGTATGACCAACAGGACTCACCAACACAATATATTAATACTCAAATATTACTTTTTTGCTACAAGTTTTGTTTTTGGAATTCCCAATCACATTTAGGAAGAGAGGAAGAATCAGTGGGTGTGAATTCACTGGGGGCCAGCAGATTTAAACAGTTATTGATCCAGGTCACACGTCAAGCCTGCTGGAGTGACCCTTGCTAGGGCAGGAGATGGGGGTTGGGGTGGAGGAAGAGGAAGGAAAATGGAGAGAAACTAAATATCCCTTGAATATCGGATCTAAAATGGATAGAACAATGACTCATTGCACTGCAGAGAAATTTGCTTTTTTAAGTCCCTACTGTAAGGTGCATACCCATTTGCTTTCCTATGAATACTTGGCATATGAATTTGTGTCTTTTTTTTTGTTGACCCAGAATTGTAATATTTTATATAGTTCTTATACTTCTAAAGCTAATTTTACTAAAATTTTACGATAAAAATGTGTTGTCCAATTGTTGAAAACACAAGTACTTCAAGAAATGTATGGACATTTGAGCTTTTGGAGAGGCATGGTTCAAGTAAACAACTTCAATATATTAATAGTTAAATATTACAAAACCATTTTATGGTTTGTAGAATAGCAAGTTGCTGCACAGCTAGCATTGATAAATTAAAGTCTAGGGGTCATTTCATTTGATGAATCTTGTTTAAGTTATTTTGTACTCCTGTTTAAAGAATACCCCTATCGTAAGGAACCAACGATATTAAAGACTTTGCATTCTTTCCCAGTTCATCACTACTTACCGATCTCCCTTTGAACGTCGCTTCTGGACCTTCTTGCCTTTGGGTCTCCGTTCACTGCCCACACAGTGGATGCCACCTGGTCCAGACACCTGCTGTGACTCCAGGCCCTTTGATGACTTCTTGAAGGTAAACTCGACCGCCTCGCCTTCCTTCAGGCTGCGGAAGCCTTCCATGTGCAACTTGCTCTGAAAGAGGGCATAGGAAGATGATTCATCATTAAGAATTATTGTTTACAGTGTTGGTAGCTCCAGATATAGAACATATTTGGTTTGCCTAAATATGTAAAACACACAAAGAATCAAATCACAAAGGGTGGTGGCATAATAATGGTAGCAATTAATTTTTTTAAACCTGCCCTAATACATATCAGGTGCCTAAGCCACCTCTTTATTAAACCTATGGACACTTTGACCCTGAAAAGCAACCCCTAACAAGTTATCCACTACATGATACCATCAGAGCCTGATAGCACTTATCAGGTATCTGGTATTTCTTGGCACCATAATGTCTCACATGATACACAACAAGGCCAACAAAGCTTGCTGTCCCCACTCTTTCAATCAGTTATTACACATAATGCCCTCCATAAAAGGCACCTCTACCTTAAAACTGCCTTGTCATTTTTCTGTGTTTGGGTGGTAAATCTGATGAGGATAACCTTCAACCCATCCCCCCTTTTCAGAGGAACAGCATTCCACAATGCTTCCCCCACCCACATCTCACGTCCCACCCACATCACAAAGCTCCACTAACACACTGACCACCACCACTAACCCTAAACTGCAGGATGCAGGGGTTAGTGCTATGGCTGGGGGTGGGGTGCGAAGGCAGCGGTGTTTCTCTGGTAGGTTGGGGGTCAGGGGGACATTCCTTAGATATTTGTTTGGCAGAAAGAGGTGGAAGATAAAAGTGGAGAGAAAGACCCATTGATTGATATCTCCTTTTGATATCAGTGACTGATATGTGTGACATTGTTTTTTGTGAAAGAAACATGGTGATTTCATTTGGTATTGTGTGATGAACAGAAAGACTGGAGAGGCGTGCTAGCTTAATTTATCAACAAAAGAGGAACATTGTGAGTAAGCACTAATTTAGCCTCTTGCCTAGCTACATATTATTCCAATGATCACCTGAGCTGACTATTCAAGGTCATTGTTCCTGATACCAGCATCTTGCCAGAAACATATCTGATTCCAGAGTAGCGTACTAATAGAGATGAAGGAAGGTACGTTTTTGAAGATAGAAGAAACATGGAGAACCCCTCTCTCTAAATCCTTGGTGGGATTTGGGGATCAACTTGTCACAACTATGGCAGACATATGAATGAAGCAGGTTTGTATTAAGACACATTAATCCCAGTTTCTTTCATTTATTTATTGACATTTATCTGTGAATTATAAACAAAAATCTCTACTCTATGTCAGATAAAACCACCAGGAATCAGACTCTCAAAGAACTTTGTTCATTTTATTTTAAAGCTTCAAACCAAACGGGACAATCTGTCGGGAAAGATAATCACGTAATAGGTACCCATTTTAAATCTTTAAAGACATCTGATATAGATCAACCAATGAGGAAACTTCATCCTTCAAAATGTCAGTTGGATTTGTCACGATCACAGCCTATAGCCAAGCAACAAACAAAAGCACCATCTTCTCAAACCATGCAACATTCACTCACAGTTGAGCATCTGCTGTGAAGTCCTGAGCATCTACCAAACATGACTGGTGAGCCATGACGTTCGAGTGACAACACGGATGGTCACAAAGCCCCAAATCCCATCAGGCCCCTCTCTGGCCTGGTGACCGTTAACCCATTTCCTCTCTCATGTGTGACCTCCCCCCCCCCCCCAACCCCCATAATGGACCTTCACTAGCCACATGCTCTTCACCAGGTTACACTCACAAACACAGGTACTGATCACGGTGTAGCCATGAAGGACCTGATTTTAAGGTTTTAGCTATAAGCAGGATTGACTCTAAACTTTGCCCAGAATGTGTCTGGAAGCAAAGCGAAGCAGAGAAAGACATCAGAGCAGTGGGGGACAAAAGCAGGACTGCTGCTGAGACAAAGAGGGGCTCGGTCACGGCCGAGGGGTGCTTCATTCGGATGCATGGCTCTATTGTTCACCTGCACAAAGGCCAGTGGACCCTGGGAGTTAATTTTCCTTGACACGCGGCCACTAATTTTAGTACAGAGGCCTTTTACGTTGCCAAAAGCCCTTTACATCCATCATTGACACGCGTGTGTCTACCTTCTCTGGTGACAGAGAGGAAAAAGGGCCGTTGGTTATGCATTTCTTGTGGATAAAATGAGAACAAAGGTGGATAAGACACCCTCTCTTGATTATCTAATGGCCATCGTATTTCCAGGGTATAAAGACATTAGGTTTTCACGTGGATTTAATTTCTTAAAAATCTACATTTTATGGCAGTTGGTGTTACTCATGTAATAACCCTGTCTTTTTTTCTGTCCCTGCTTAAATTTGTGTTTTTTTTTTTCTTATATGCCTAAGCAGCTAGTAGCTTATGTGTAGCCAGAAAATGTGTCGGTTACAGAAGTCCTGCCCATTCTTGCTTCATGCAGTGTCATAACAAGAAAGCAGATACCTAAAAAACAGAAATGAGTAAGAACTACAAAGTCTGAAAACTGGCTTTGACCAAATTTGGAAAATTAAAAAAAAAATAAACTGATTGATTGACCAACTTTATTTGCATTTATATATAAAAATAATAATTAAGTTAAACATTTAAAAAGGAGAAGCATTTTGTTTTTCTTCACAGCATGAGGCATTGGAGAGTGGAGACAAGGAAGTTTATCTTCTTTCTTTTTAAGAAGAACCGTAAGAGCTCCTTTCCTCTTTAAAGCTTGCACAGTACCACACATACACAAACACTGAGGAGGTTGAGCAGACAGCAAAGAGCCTTTAATCACTTTATGACAGGATCCTTGAGGTGAATGAGCAGCTAGTGGGAACTTCTCTCATTCACATGCTAAGCCTTTATCTTATCAGACAGCAATGGAGGCACTCACTCCCACGAGAAGTGGGAGGGAAAAGCACCCGTTGTATATGAAAAGGTGAATGGAGGTTTTGGGTTAAACCTGGATGAACTCTGGAGTTTTTTTTTTTATCTCTTCATGCTGAGAACACAACAATATAACCTTGAGTGGGACAAGAATATCTTATATGATAAGCAAACCAAAACAAATTATTTGGTTATATTTATCCTAAAAATATACACCCTGACAAAAATACTCACTTTTCTGAGCGGTTTTGTTACAAGCCTTGTGATAAACCCAACAGAAAATGCTAATTGTGAATATTTAATGCTTTAAAGCATATGTCACCTTTCAAAGAACTGAAAAATTGCTGGGGTCAATCTGGACCTGAAACCATTAGAATCAATGTAAACATACCACCCACTACATTCAATGAAAGATGGCAAAGTGTGACATCCAATCATCATATTCCAGATAGAAACAAAAACATTGACTTAAATAGCTGCAGAACAGGATCAGCTACACTTTATTCCTATTTCAAAGACCAGATTTTAAGCAGCTCACAGCACTCACTGTGATCTGTAGCCATTTAAAGGCTTTGAAACGTCAGCATATCGCATGCATTAGTTTAAAAAAACCCATCTCCATCGTATTATATTGGGTTTACTATCATGAAACCACGAGGGAGACCCGCGAGAGACTCCACTGGCTGCAACACGTGTTTCCCTGAAGGAGAAACACCCACCACACTGCAGAACAAACGCTCACCTTAACTTATTGAATTCATCAAATACTATCGAAACGTTGCTCAAACATAACAAAAAAAAAATGCTGATGGGGTGTTTAATGCACCTTTTCCGTTGTGTTTATCACAGTGATTTTGTCTCTAGCCTTCTCTTAGCCTTGCCACAAAGATGGCTGGGTTGAAGGAAAAAAAAATCCTGAATTAATTAAGTTGAAGCCTAGGCTATTGAAAACAGGTGGGCTATAGCTCACGCATGCCGGTAAGAAATCTCACCAGATTTACGAATGTTCAGGCCTTTAAAAAAAATGTTGTTTTGCACAAGTCAACCCCCTTTAAATCGCTCTTGTATTTGCATATACTTTACAAGTTTCACTTTTGAGCAGAAGGTCGTCCTACCTGATGGACAAACACATCAACCGGTTCGTCCAGTGGCACTCCCTCTCGGCTGGTCATGGATAGGAACCCGAAGCCCATGCGGACGTTGAACCATTTACACACGCCGACCCCGCGGACAGGCTGCGAGTCCTCCTCGGTGCTCGGTCCTTCGTCCTCCTCGGTCTTACACACTCCTGCAAAGAAAAAGAAAAAAGTGTTGGAATGACCCAAGAAAAACAATCAGACTATCATGTTAAATAAATAAAGAGGGATTGAAGTTATGTTTAAAACCGGGCAACTTCGCTTATTTTCCTCTCGCGTTGCTGCTGCTGCATCATCAACCAATCAATCAATATGAATCAATGAAACAACCGTAACAACCTGGGATGCACTTTGGACGTGTTATGACTAAAATAGTCACAAACCTTGCCACAGAAACGAAAATAGCCATACATCCTTTCGATTAAACATGTGGAACGACTTTTTTTTTGCGAAATAATTGATGTTGGTTGTTTGATATCAGAATTCTAAAGAACAATTCATGCATTGATGGACACGTATTGCCTATGACCTGTTTGAACAAAGCCTTACAATTAAACAGAAAGTCATTCAGAAGACAACCTAACTGTGTAAGTTAAATACCCGAAATAAAAAAAAAAACGTAATGCAAATAATTCTGCTACTCAACCTGGGAATTTCTGGTTAGAAACGGAGCCCATGTCTTCACGTCTGCTTTGAGTCAAAATTAGCACCCAAGCTACAGTATCCTTTTTTTTTTTTAACCCTCAAACTGGGAAATCCTCACAGATTGCCACTTTCATGCAAAATGCTGTGAAAAGCAGAAACTGCGCAGCAAGAGGGAAAGCGGGAGAGGGAGGTAAACAAAAGGGGGCTGGCAACCTATTCCCCCTAAACAATGAGGGGAGGGGGTGGGGGTCAGCGGGCTGAATTTTTTTTTTTTTTTTTTTACAGAAGACCCCCCACCCCTCTTTAAAAGAAGTCCTAAAAACAATGCAAAGACACCCAGCCATTTTCAGAAAGCACTTTAACAATTCCCAGAGATACGTCCCTTAAAGAAGCAACCCAGCATACCTTCTGCCATGTTTGAGGGCCAGTTTACTCCTGATGCTGCTGTGTGTGTGTGTCTCTCTCCTGCAGCGGTCAGCTCTGTTGGTCAACACTAAATGACTATTTCTCATCTAACAAACCCCCCACTCACTCTCGGTCATGTCCACGTGACTCACAATTGTATTCCCCAAGGATAGATTGCATATTGTTTGATGGAGGAGCCTAAATGTTGAGGTAACCAATCACGCTAAACACATTTAAAATCCAATATTAATATCCCACCCAGGCTTTCTGGAATTTTACTTTATGTAGCCTAAATAAAGTCATCAATTTGTAGCAATGTTAAAATGTTATGATAAGGCACGTTTAAGCAGATCTGGGATTATTCATGGAGCATATTAATGTAAACCCGATTTTAATCTTTTGTATCTCACCGAACCATTACACTCAACAATAATCGAAACTAGGTTTTTACTATCTATTTTTTCTATCTAAACACACTGCAGTAAGGTTACAGTAGTAAAGAAACAACCAGACAGAGCCCTTATTGTCTGTTTTAACAACATCTGGTTTGAAGGATATAGCCTATAGGTGAGTGAGTTTAGGATTTATGGGGAGTTTTTTCAAATCAACTTAATTTTTCAATATGAAATCCTCTTGATTTACTTGATTATGTTCTATTTAAATTCATTTTTCCCTATTTAATTCCTAACATTTGCATGCAATCAGGGAATCGGTGTTGCTGCAGCCACAACATGCGGGAGAAAGGATTGTAATGTTAATCCACGTGAAACATGGAGGGGGAAGTGTTTTTTTCCTCACACGCAACAGAGAAGGGACAGTTGACCCGAATAAAAAAAAAAAAAAAAAAAATCCCGAGCTTACTATGAAGAAGAAACCACGAGCAGAGTTGAACCAGACAAAAGGCACACACAAAAGCAGATCCGACATAACGAGGTGGCTTCGTGAAAACAAGCAAGCTGGTAAAACGAATTCATGGATCGATAGTGATTGATCACATCATGTTAGGATGTTGACTCGTGTCCTTGCGAATGATGGATGAATGAAAGAAGGAGGAAAGTGATCTTTAACCAAGCTCAGAGGAAGAAAAAAAAAACACAAATCCAAAGCCGAAAAATAACCAAACGGAACAGACGTAGGCCTATTGTCTTTAAACCATGAATCAAAACGATCGTAACTTCAATTGAAAAAAAAAAAAACCCGTAAAAAAAACTTCACGTAGGCCTCGCATCCACGTGCGTCTTTGAGAACACATATCCTACATTAAATCAAATATGAAGAGATACAATCAGCCAAATGAAAAAAGACATTGAACCCAATGTGTTGTGTTTGTAACAAACATCTGAATGAAAGGCCCATTTCAGGATAATTTCATATTTGAATATCTGAACGAATTGTTTAACCTCCATGACCTGTATTAAGAAGGAAGGCGTAGGCCTGTTATTTTAATAAATACATCTTTAGAGATCAACCTGAACATAACTCCCAGTTCCTCAGTTTGTGCAAGGCCTGATGGAGGATAGCCTACCTGTCGATTTCGTCACAACCACAACGACCCCTTGTGGATCCGCAAAACAGGCCTACTGAGACCCTAAAGATTAGCCTACATAACCTGCAGCATGAAATATTACAAAATGTATATACACGGTAACTGTAAATCAGAGAGATATTTGTCAAACAGTAGAGCGTTTTTGTGGAGTTTTGCATTCAAGACAAAAAAAAAAAACATCTGAAAAATGATTTAATTTAATGTGAGACAAATATTGTAAGAAAGGGTTAATGAAAAAACTGAAATAAGAAAACGAGGGGACATTTCAGTACGTAGGAACCCCAATTTGTGTTACTTAGAAGTCAAACACAACCATTACAAAACAAACAAACACATTAGGCCTATAACCAATGTTTTTCCCGTTGAAGTTAAAGTACGACCCTGCTTTTTTTTTTATATCTGTTTTGTTCTGAGATGTTGGATTTAAAGAAACGGATTTTTCCAATGCAAACATTTTTTTTTCTTTACGCTAAATATCCAGATCGCATCTCAACTAAGACTCTTAACTCTTTACGTCTATCTGCTGAGCACATTCTCTTTTTGAAACAGAATTTGTCTTTTGAGTGTAGGCTAATTAAACAACAATAACTTGAATATCTCCCGCTATCAAGACAAATTAATCCGTGGACAAAGAAAACTTTAATGTCAGCAAGTCAACTCATTCACAGTGGTGAATTATGTTGGCAGTAGGCCAAAAGGTTTGGATCTCACTGCTGGACTCAAGCCAAGCTGCAACATGGTAATTGACTAATAAAGGCTGACGTCCTTTTGGTGACATGTGGCTTTCCAGGAAAACCTTCTGTATCGTAGCCTATACTTTTTGTTCAAAGCCGGAAGTGGGCCCAATAGAAAATGTCATAATAACCTGCCTCACATGACAATGATAATAAAATAATAATACGTTTTTGCCTCACTTGTTTAAGATTTTTTTGTTCCCTGCATCATTAAAAATGCAACATTTTAAAAGGTAGGCCGTCTTATTCCCAACATAGGCCTACGTGAAATGCAGCATGGTGAAGTGCACGTATGTTCTATTAAATTGCCGCTAGATGTCAGTATAACTCTGAACTTGGCAGGGCAGCAAGTTACCCAGCCACCCAGGCAAACTTTATCAAGTAAAAAAAAATATATATATATATATATATATATATATATATATATATATAGCCTATACAACTGACCGGTGTGACTCCAGATAAGATAAGATATTAATGGACTCTGTTTTGAGTCATTTTGATGTTCCTTCTTTAAGAGTGAAAAAACTGTAATCTTGCTTTTTATCAGCAGACAGTAAAATGTATTTTTTTTTCTTGATCGTAGGCCTATAGGCTATTGGGTTTGCGTTATTCCCCGCAGCCATCAACAAATAAGTAAAAACAAATCAGATCAGCCCGCCCCTTTGATATCCAAAATGGACTGTGTAATGAAGAACCCAATTGGACCCCCCCCCCCCCCCCCCTCACCACCACCATCAGCGCAGCGGAGAACATTACGCTGCGTCTCGACGCCGATCATGTGTCCGGTGTCAGGTGGACGGATCCGATTCTGGGCGGGACAGGCAGCCGGCTGGAGGAATGAATAGCTTAGAGAGACAAATAGGGAGAGAGATCCACAGAGAGAGAGGGGAGGGGGAGAGTGACTATATGGGGATCAGTGAGGAAACGACTTAATTGGAACAACATCGGGATTATCCGCCTTGTTACAACATAAGGACGACATTTCCAGCTTTTCCTACTTGAGCTGAAGGACATACAGACTAGTTTCCGTTGCGGTAATATCTCACAGTTTTTAATACGAATGTTAGCACAATGAAAAAAAGGATCTGAGGATGCAGAAGAAAGTTAGCAACTTTACCCCAAACTGCCCCAGGTAGTTTGTTTGGCTGCTGGACTGCAATCATGTAACCACCTTTGAGCTATGAACTCAGAAGGATTTGACCTTTTCTGGAAGCAGTGCAGGACACGGTGAAGAACAGCTCGTAGAGGCTGCGAGGAGAACTCTCAATAACTCCCAGGGCAGTGAGGTTTATTTGTGCTCCTTGTCTCGTCCGAGCCGTTTGCAGCTTTTACCTGTCCGGTCAAACATGGCAAGACTCCGGAGAAAAGCTTGCATAGCTCTGCTTCTCTTCACCATATTCATCTTTGGGACCATGATGGGACTGAGGACTCTGAAGCCCACTGACGGCTTCTCGGATCTTGCGCCGGGCTTGGACCCCCTGCCGATGATGGCAGGGAAGGTGGACAGGCGCTCCGTGTCCCGGGACGCCACCTCACCCCCGGGTCAAGCCCAACAGCCTGCAGGCAGCAACACGAAAGCAGTTTTGTCCAACTCCGGCCCCGAGGGGACCATATTTTACGATGTTCATATATTTTATTACACCTGGTACGGCACCCCGCACATGGACGGCAAATACATTCATTGGGACCACATCCTGGTTCCACACTGGGACCCGAAAATCGCATCAAGCTATCCGAGAGGCAGGCACATGCCCCCCGAGGACATCGGCTCCAGTTTTTACCCCGAGCTCAGTCCGTACAGCTCCAGAGACCCGGACGTGTTGGAGTCCCACATGGAGCAGATTGGGGCTTCCGCAGCAGGTATAGTTCAGAGATGTAACGGGCACGCTAGGTTTCTGAGAGGTGGAAAAACCAGCTGAGAGTTGGCCTTTGTAAACGCAGAACTGCTGCACTTACGCTCTTAAAAATTTCAGCACCACACAACCACCGGACAGCTCCTCACGCTCAGTCCAAAGTCCTCCATCTCTGCTGCGCTCTGTCCTGTACAGCAAATAGACAAACTCTATAGATTAAAAGCCCCAGTAATCTTCAGAGCAACGTCTGTAGACTTCATAAATAAGTAGACTTACTCTTCTGAATATCATCATTTCAGAATCCAGCCAAAATTTTTTTTAAAGTGTGGCTTAGTTTAATGTACTTTAACAAACATAAGATGTCCCAAAGGATTAGCTAAACAGCTTGAAATTGGTGTCAGGATATCAATAAGCATATCTTTCAATGACACCTAATTTAAAAAAATAAACATGAATTTGTATTACATAATGTTGTCTGTTTTGGGATCATTACTTTTATCAACAAAATCAGGTATATCAAAGCTATAATAACCTGTCATTAGGCTACATTTCCCTTGAAAGGCAATATCTAAACATATTTAACATTAATGGAATATCATTTTTATTCCAGTGTTCTCATCTCCTCTCCATTTACAGTCAAAAACCAACTCAACTCATTAAAGAAACCACACATCTTAAGAATGAAGACAGACCAGATTTAAAACCCCTACGGTGAAAAATGTACTCTAAATGAAAAAGTTGTGATATGATTTGCTTTTGATTTTGGACTTAAATATTTGGATAAATCATCCTTATGTCCTTAATTTCCATGCTAAGGACTTCAGTCATAAACCAGTTTTTCAGATGTCTCATAAAGTATTGAACTTTATGTTGTTAGTGTTCTTAAAATCTAGTACTGCCTTCCTAAAAGGCTGCAGAATCCCGTAGCTGGGTATCGTGTAACAGCCTGGTCTATGCAGCTATCAGCAGCCAACACATGATAGGCCCTGATGTTTCTGCCCGGCGGCTCAGTAGGTTATTGTACACCATCCGGAATGATGACCAAACGATCCATCCAGTCTGGTCATCGCAGCGACAGATGGATTATGGGAGCGCCGGCTCACAATCTCTAGTTAAAACAATCCATTAAATTAGAAAACCCAGCCATGCAGCCAAACTCGAAACAGTTCCACTTGGCTTGACGACTGATTCCCCTCCACTTTACTGGGGTTCATAAATAAAATGAAGAGCTGTGGCCATATTCTTAAAGACTTAGTTGGGTATTGTAATCCCACACAGCCTCACAGCTAGCTGACATGAGTTTAATTAACTACCTTAAAGTGCCAGGAACCTCTGGTGCCAGGCACCCTTTGGCTTATATGAAGTCATTTCTTACCCAGCATTAGAGCATTAGGTTGCATTTTACTGTTGGAATTTATGAGCTGCCACACACTCGAGCTGCACATAGAGAGACTTCCACTTAAACAAGACATAATATATGGTGAAAAGATGCAGATGCAAATTCATCAGTCAAGTGCTGGACATCGGTGCATGTAATGTATATATTAGGGTACAAAAAAACAGTTGTGCATACAACTATGCATGGATTACTGAACAGGCCTATCAGACATATGTCCAATGACCAAATGAGTCAGAGGGCATCAGGGGAAAAGCCTCTTTTTGGAGTGTGGGCACATATTTCTTGTTGACAAGTACATGAAATGTCTACAAAGACCTACTAAACATTGAAAAAAGGAAGCAAAACAATCTGAAAGGGACCAAAACAACCACAAGTTTAAACTTTTCAGATAAAAATAAAAAAAATCACAAAATTACTTAAAAGCAATGTGAAACAAAAGCAAAACAACTACAGAGACATGCAATTACACGGAAATGACACATACAATTACATCAAAGAGGTGCAAAAGTCATGGAAAAATTACCACTTAGAGATAGAGAATCACCACAAAGGGTTGAAATTCATCAAAGAACCTCAAAACAACAACATGACAAGATGCAGTTGTAGAAAATAAAACAGAACAAGATATGCAAAAAAGATTGCAAGGAGACACAAAACAACAACAAAGACACAGAGAGACCACAGAGACCCCAAACAACCACATAAAGACACAGAACCAACACAAACCACCCAGAGGCATTGCCAGTTAGGATCACAAGAACAACACAAAGGGCTGGTTTTTGTTTTTTTGTGTTTCAAATTCCCACTCTATGTGGGGCCTATTTGTCTCATAATCTGCCCATCCATTTAACACCTAGCTACCCTACCATCTGTTTGAGTCCTGTACAAAACATGTGGTAATTACCCTAATGGATTCCCAGGACAGATATTTATAATATGTCCAATAAAAGTGCAACTGGCTGTGTTCATTTCACGGTATCAGATGAGTCTGTAACACTGTCCGAAGAGCTACATGAAAACCTCACTGTTGATTAATGAAAGCAAAGGGTTTCCAGCTCCAATTTCTCCCTGCAGGATTATCAGCATTTCTTGCAAACTGTGTAATCTATGTATTCTTTGAACAATGGGTAAGAGGGAAGTCTCAGAGGTTTTAATACATTGTAGACACAGATTCTAATCTGTAATGTATTTAGTCCAGCTAAGATGATCAAACTCATGAATTGTGTGTGTTTTAAGGGGTCCTGGTCCTGTCCTGGTATCCTCCCGGCCTGGCTGACGATAACGGGGAACCCGCTGAGGATTTAGTACCAGCTGTACTGGATGCTGCTTATCGACACAACCTCAAGGTAAAAGGCATCAGCACATTTTGATTGTGTGAAAGTGTGCAAGACTTGAAACAAATGGGAGGAAAAATCCAAGATAAAACAAACCTACTTTCCTTAAATAATGGAGACAGGATTAGAAAAGATACAATTAAGAATATAAGCATTTGTCAAAAGTTCTCTGTTCTCTTTAATTCAGCAAGAGACGCCATATTCATTAATTTGATTTCCATTTGGAGATTGCTCCAAGTGGCTGGAACAGAAACAAGAAGGCTTTTCTTGCCATCCCTGTTCAAACTCTGGACAGATGATATATGTCTTGTAATCTGAGATAATGACTGCAAGTTGAACTTTTTTTTGGCTCTTTCAATGAAAAATGTCAGAGAAACTCGTAATGGACAAAGCTTTCACAATTTGGAATACAAACCAAATAATTTTTTTACATTTTAGAAATTCTACACAATTCTGTGCTATTTCTGTGCTATGTGCTATTATATACCATTTAACAGATGGAGGCACTTGTGCAAAACAAATTCATCTAAAACCTTTGAAAAGTGTAAATGTATTTCTCTTCAAACAATCAAACCATAGACCAAGTTTCTTCAAAGGGTTTTTAACATATAAATACCTGTATTTTTTCCAATTGGAAATAGGTTGTATAGTTTTCCCCCGATCTGTAAAAATATAAACATGGATTACTTAGTTTGTGTGGGAAGTCTGCATTTATGAAATCTACCTGGGAAAGAAAATCCAGAGCTATAAAACACAATCACTTGCATACCAATAAGTATTGTTTCAATTTCTGGCAGAGTGACACAAAAGTTTTATGTAAAGAGATAATAAAGTGGTCCAAGCATAGAGCCTTGAGGCACTCCATAAAGTACAACGAGTCCGCTTGATGTGCGCATACTTACTTTATTCACAAAACCTGTCTGTTATTTTGACAATCTATTTGCTTTACTAAAATAATATTGATACAGACATGGCTTATTGCTAATGCTTCATTGAGTTGTAGCTGAGAGCTTTTCACTGCTCAGAGTAGTTATCTCAAACTGGCCAGTGTGCTTTGGTGAGTTATACACAGAAGCTGCAGTTTCTTTTTGTCACGGGAGAGTAAGATTGAGAGCTGTAGAACTCACTCTGCTGCCTCCTATGTAGATGTCTTTGCTACTTAGGGATTTGACTCAGGATGTTTACAGCCGCAGTGACATCTCCGGCTTTAGAGCAAAAACAGGTCAAAGAGCTGCTGCTGCTGCTGCTGCTGGATCAGTTGTTCAGTGAGGCCTGAATAATCATCAGCAGCACATAAAGGTGGGAGGGGGGAGCAGAACCACATGACCAATTGCCAATTAGGTTGGAAAATGGCATGTTGTCGGATATAACTGCCGCCCATGTTGGTTCCCTGCAGCCTGCCCCTGAATCAAAAGCTTACTTAACTTCAACAGGAAATGCTGACCCGTAATGTTATTCTATTCATGTTGGATTCTCTCTAGATAAAGACAGCGATGAAAAGAGAGAGATTACAACACATTCTTTGATGACATGTGTAAGTCTTAAATGAACAGAATGACACACTGATCACTTCTGATTCTTAAGTTTAAACGTTTTTTTCACCTTAAATACTAAAAAGTCTGTTACATAAACAATAAGACAGATACATAATGTGTTCATGTCTCTATGCTCATACAGATAGCATCTCAGAACTAAAAGTGAACCTCCTTTCCAAATCAATTTGAAATGACATGTAAGAGGGACAGGCTTGTAAGAGTTTTTCTATGTTATAGCAGGTGCCATTAATAATGCATCAACAGCGTTTGTGTAACACACTATATCTTTAAGTTAAGAGTAATATGCTAGCTGATGTGAAAGGGGAACAAGATAAAAGCATCTGGATTACTTTAAGGGTTTGTTCGAGTTGATCTGCTTTTTAGAGCTGAAATGATTTATTGATAAAGGATCATTATTATCATTTAGTATCAACACATTAAAGCAGAGATTAAAAAGAAAGCCAAACTGTTCTCTAGATCAGTGGTTCCTAACCTTGTTTCCTTTAAAGCCCCCTACTTGTATGGAGGATAAGCTGAGCGCCCCAGGACCCACACAAAAACAAGAGATACATAGTAATAAAAAAAACAACATTCTTAATTTCTTCTTGCAGAGGTGTGAGGCACACAAAGCCTTGCACCCCTCCTACAATAATAATATTTCATTTGAAAACCAGGGGGGGCAGGACCCCAGGTTGTGAAACAATGCTGTAGTTGTAGCCTTTAACATCAAGTGATTGATGCTTTTCTTTGTCATATCATTTAAAACTGAATATATTTGGTGTTTGGACAAGCGAATGCGTCACATGCAAAGAGCATTTTTTTCATTTTATTTTCTGTCCAATTATAGACACTGAAAGAAACATCAGCTAATACATGGTTAAAACAATCCTAAAATGTTCAATTGATGTTCATAGGAAATACATAGACAAACAGGGACCATGTTGTTGAGATGTTTTGGTTATTTGAATCCCAGTTAGATACATGTCCTCTAATGATGGAAGTAGCTCAGTCTGGACTTGGGTTGGGTTGGAAGGAAGGTTGGCAGTTCAAGTCCCGGTGTGGACCAAATCTGGAAAATTGGTCTGGTAGCTGGAGAGGTACCAGATCACTTCCTGAACACTGCAGAGACACTGGACCCTTTTTGCTTTTTAGGAGGAGAACAGGGAATTCTTGGGATTACTGTAACAAAAGCAGCACCAGTTTTACCAAAAAACTTAAAGTCAGCACAATACATGAGTATTTGCATTTCTCTAAGGCGTTTATTCATGCAGGTTAAATTCCATTGACCTAGAAAAAAAGTTAAAAGATACAACACTGTTTAAAGTTTTTTTTTTTTTTTTTTCGGACAGCATGGAAAATTATGAGAGCCAAACATCACACTTCCCTACATACTGTTGTTGAACATAGTACTTTAAGGCAAGACAGTAAGATTATCAGTGACCCATCACATGTTTGCATACAGAGTTCGAGCTTCAACCCACTGGTGAGAAGTTCCTGAACAGATTTAAACATTAATTTATCACTGTGTCTATAAGGCTTGTAAACAGTGCTGAATAAAACATGATAGGCACTGGACTATAATGCATCTTTGTATTTTTGCACAGGTATTTTGAGAACCTGATGTTTTTTATATTTTTATATTTTTTCTGGACATTATTTCATAATAGTTTAGAGACAGATTAATTGACAAGCCGATAACATCGGCCAATATTAGCATATCCAGTAACTATCTGTGTTGGCAAATTTTATCACATGATATGTGCCGATATTACTAGATTTATTCACCAGTCAAATATGTATATATATATATATATATATATATATATATATATATATATACATTTGAGTAACATTGTTATTACAATAGCAGTTCCGTTTCTGTGCTATACGGATTACAACAAGCGTTATCACTCTCCAGAGTGTCAAGCGGTGATTCAAGTATATGTGCAGTTACTTTCCAGTTGAGTGATCATCTCATCTCCATTATACTGTTTTTTTTTCCACGAGTGTTTTATAACTGCATTTGAGGGATCAACAAAAAAGTGTACATCTTTATCTTTCTCTACAGATAAAAAAAAAAAAAAGATCTCAGAAAGATATCGGCCGATATATATATCGGTATCGGATTTCTTTCACCCCAATAATCCATATCTGTATTGGCCCTTAAATCCATTGTTTTATGTTTAATGTGAATGATGTTGATTGTTGTCTTTAAATGGCTGCAGCATGGGTGAACAGCCCAAGACAAATTTATAACATTGGGAGACAATAAAGTTAATCTTGAATCAAAGACGTTTCATATAATAAATTCAATACTATGCCAGTATGTGTTTCCTGATGTAAAGATAAAGATGATTTGTTTTCCGGCAGAGATGTGATACACATTGCCGTCCTCCTCCGTATAAACAAATCTGATTGGAGACAGAAGGTTTGTCAGGCCAGTCTGTCAGCATTGAAACCACATTTGTTTAATTTGTTGTGTGGCTGCAGGCGAAGAAATAATGAACCTCTCCGCCGGCAAATCAAGAACCCTCAGATTAGCCATGCATAGCTGAGCTGATAATGTTTTACACATGATGGTGTCAGGACAAGATCTTATAGACTGAACTTAATGCTATGTTTTATTGTCATCAGTGAGCCAGCAAGCATGACATTTTCATAACAAGTGTAAAGGAAACATGTGTAGTCAAACAGACTGTGACGCACTCTGTCTCTAAATCAACCGAGCATTTCAGAAACACGAGAAGGTTCTTTTCTTCATCTTATGAGAGCATTTAAAGTATAATAATCAGACAGCAGAGCGAGGAAAACCAAAGCAGCATGTTAAGTGCAGCATATACCGAGCATCCTCTTAGAGTAATGTTTGCTTCCAGGTTCTCCTTTTTCTTGATGAACTCCTCCCACTCCCTCTGCACAGATGGACATTTATCTTGCTGTGCTTCTTCTTGCATATTTTTTTTATTTTTTTATTCAGAAAAACGCTGACAAGTTAAAGAGCTTTGGCTCTGGTCATTTGGAACTCTGATGCAAACGTTCCCTAAGATACAATCTTGAAAAATGTCTTTGCTCTTTTCTGCTGAAAGGCAGGCCTAAAGGAGGGAGGAAACCCAAGTGAGGAGGACAGATGGTCCCACAGGAGAAGTGGAAACAGCCAACAAATAAATATATAAATAAGACTTGAATTCAGGAAATACACCTATTTGCAATACTTTAAAGGCAAAGTGGCTACACTTCTGTAATTTAAAGAGCAGATTTTTTAAAGCAATAGCTTTTTTTGAGTCTGTCATTACACCAAAGCATTTTTACGTTATAAGATAAGATAGGATAAGCTTTTCTTCTCTTCGTAGCTTTGCTTTTTCACAAAGAGAACTACTCAAGAGTGGCAGCTGTCAATCCTCGTCAAATATGAAGAAAATCATGTTTTCAGCCTCAAATAACTTGCCGAAAAATGAGCACTCTAAGGAAGTCCTGAAAAGT